AAAACTAAATAAAACTAAACAAAATTTTAAAATGTTAAATGATTATAATAGCTCAAAAATTGATAGAATGTTTCGAAAATGTTATCATGTCTAGAAAAAGTATTCTGTGAATATTACAGGTACAATTATTTTTAACTGAATTAAAATAAAACAACATTGTCGTAAATTTTGGCCTCTTAAATGTACCAACGAGTTAAAATTTGATTTTAGATAAACTGCTACATTTAAAAATCGGAGAAATAATCCCGGTAAAAAAGTTTTCAATAGACAGAAAAAAAATCACACATCATAGTAAAACTGATATGTTCCTCGCTTCGCTCAGAGTTTAAAATCTAGATTATTATCAGAGTTACGAAGTAAAAGAAAATGGAAAAGGGAATTGACTTTACCTATGTCCATTTGTTATTAAATTAAAATAATTATTCAAAAGTTAAAGTTCATTAGACAATAGTAAACGTACGTTATAACCTCCTTCCAAAATCATGCCTAGTTAAATAAGGTATTTGTATTTTGTTGGTCAAGATGGGAAGAAGAGGCTCATCCAATGAACTCTTTAGGTAACTTAAAAATCGTATAGTTACGCCTATGTGTAGGTATGAGTAGGTTAACTTAAAATAAGTAGGTTTAGGTTCTGAGTTGGACTGAGGCAGCCTCAGGTTACATCCTTTTAAACTGTTAAATAAAATATTATGCAGTGGATGTTTATATTTATTGTGTTATATGCGAAGTTAAATGTTCTATTTTTGTATGATATTTCAAATGAGTACCAGATTTCTATATATAAGTACATAATACAGAGTATTCTACAGTGTTATCCGAATACTAATAACTCTGTCAATGTTTATTTTTTGTTCAATGGAGTTTTATGTCAGATGATGTAGATAAAAATTAAATTTTTATTTTTACACTTTTTATGGCCAATTTGTAAAATATATTATTTTAAAAATTTGAATGTATCATACTTACATATTCGATCAATAGTTTCTTAATAATAACAGTTTTAATTTCTAGAAAATTGGTGTGAAAAAAATTAATTTTCAATAGAATAATACATTAATATAAAATAAAATTACATCAGGAAAATAAAATTGAAAATAATGAAACCGTTGTTTCCGTAAACTAAATATCATTATTTTACGTTTTCCCCGGTTTGCTCAATTGTTGAGAAAACTACAAGGAAAATCATAAAAAAACATCGGAAAACGGAAATATTTACGCAATAGTCAAATAATGGTTTCTGTTAAATTCGATTACGTTTATAATTGTTTTTGTTATCGATTAGAAAATAATTGTATTAGAAATATGAATATGAACATTTTCACCGAATAGTAATATCAGAGCGCGGACAAGCGCTACAATTTTCAAATTATTCTGTATTTTGTTTTCAATAAATAATGGATATTAAAATGTTCAAACTGTATTTTGTGAAAGGGGAGAGTTTATATGTGGATACAAATTGTGTAATTTATTTTCGTCGATGTATGTCCAGATTTATTTTTTGCTATTTTTTCATTTTTATGTAAATTTTAAAAAATTGTAACACCTTGCACCTCTGCTATAAGTAATATATAGGGTTCGTAAGTTCATGAACCGAAAAAGGCATAAAAAATTACGCAATAATGCATTAAAAACTGCCGAAATATGCACTTAAAAGTTCTGAAATATATATTCATTAAAATTTTAAAACGGATGCACTTGAAATATACTCAAAATAAAAGTTCAATAATAAAAGTTCATTTTTAAAAATAAATTGTAGATTACATACCCACGGGTATCGGCTGCAGAGGGTGGTAGTAGTAGCGAAAGCATTGTTTCTGTGGTGCTGCCGTAAAACACATAAAACACATACGGTCATGTAAAAATAAATATAAACCGAAACGAAACTAATTTTAAGATTTTGTAAACATGTTCAGAAATGTAAATAAAAAATAATAACTTCCCGAGTTTTTACGAAATATGCTATACTATCGTAAATGCCAAAATATGTAGATATCTAAAATATGCAATATCATTTGTATTAACTATATTGAGATTGATTATTGTTATGAAACGGATTTTTACCTCATTTTGCGTGTTTTTCGACATAGTAAAAAAAACCATTCAAATGATTGAACTTACGAGCTCTGGTAATATACAGTATGAAACATCCGTGAGCAGCAGAACTCTGTAACTTAATTTTTTTCCCAACTAGCTGATTAATCGATGCTTTTTTTTTTTTTTTTTAATGGTCTAAAATAATTGGTAATCGGTCAAAAAGTCCGGGGATAAAAGGTCCATGGACAAAAATTTCGTTTTGAAAAATATTGGACAACAAGACAATAAATTTTATGAACTTCCAATGGTTAACTGAAAATTGTTATTATTTTTATTATTGGAGAGTGATCGATGTCTATATTGAATATTTTTCAAAACGTAACTTTTTTTGCGTAAAAGAAACGAATCAAAGGAATGAAAGTCTTAGTTATTTTTCGTACACAAAAAGATTTCGTTCCGTTTCTTGTTCCTTTGTTATAAAAATAAATTCATTCCTCGTGTCGTTCTTTAAAAGAAGGAGCCGTTTCTAAAACTCGTTCCTTTTGAACTTGATACTTCAAACACTGTGGAGGGGGTTGATAGTTAAAACCCCCAAAGGACACATTCTTGATATCCACATCATGCGTACACGAAATTCCGTTCTCCTGGCTTCATTTCGGAGATCTGTTGGGGCGTATACAAAACAGTAAGCATCCTTTCTCCAGCAACATCATGGTTAAATTCATATTATAATTCAACCAAACTATTATCGCTTCAATCTATCAATAAAAGAATTCTAATTCCTGAGTTTAAGCTAATTCGGTTCAGAGAAAACCGGTAAAAACGTCCAAATGTAGTAAGAAAAACATTATGAATAATGTACATCATATTATAGTATGATATAATATATATCAGACACAATATGCAGTACAATATAGTTTTTGGTTTTGGGGAAAACTTGACAATGAAAAATTCGCGAAACGAGTCGGGTGCGGTAATTCTTTCGTTGCAATGAATGGTGACTAAACTTGGGGGTTAAACGCGCGCGTATACCTGTCCATTAGTTAACGTAATAATTAATAATATATAATAAAAACGAGCGCTGAGTAACAGCACGCAGTGTCGTAAATTGGCCTTAATTTGTGATGGTGCTGCATAGAAATGTTTCTATGTAACATAAATTAACTTATTCTTTGTAAATAACATTTATTACACTTACGTACCTAACTATACGTTATATTTAAAATTTTCTGAAAAATTAAAGCGTTGCGAGACGGCCAGTGAGTTTTCATCAGCGGTGTGTATATTAGAATAACAGAATATTTAAAAACATAAAAAAAAAAAAAAAAATATATATTACAATTTTAATGAAATATGTTGATCATATTTCTCAAGTGTCTCGATAGAAAAATAAAGAGAAAATGAATGTTAGATTTTCGTGTGAAATGGGTAAATGATTGCTATGAAAACTTGGCTGATTTTTTAACGGATCTATTAGATTTAGGACGTTGAAAAACCATGAAATAATTTACTAAATATTTTTCACATAATTTAGAGTTCATGGTTAAATAATATTATTGCAGCCTATAGTTAATTTTGCGTTCTGTACTGCTCATGTATACTTCCCACGTCATTTGCCGTGAAAAATAGCGATAACCTAACAATAAAGTTTGGAAATCGTCTCAATTTTTTTTTTCATCACACGGTACATAATACGGTACCTAAATCAACTTAACCTCATTGGACATATAGCTGGCATATACCTAGTTTTTTTTAACCACGATTAAGAGGAAGTCACACAATCGTACTGTGTAAATCCAAGGGGTTGCGTATAGGCAATTTTTACACAGAAATCGGCGAAAAAAATGAAAATTCATTAAGTCGAAAAGTATAACACCGTGTGCCGTTTATCACGGTTGTGTACCGTGGAGTATGAAATTGTGAAATTTGTTGAAAAACACGTTGAAACACGCAAAGGAAAAAGTGTTGAAAAATAATTCTGTGTTGTAAACACCAAAGTAGGTAAATAGCTTTATAGCCTATAAAACACTAAGTGATCGATATCATGCGGAATGCAAAAATACGTTTTTTTTTGTTTTCCAAGTCTCAGCACCTCTATCCGATAGAGATGGAAAAAATGGAAAATCAGCCCGCAGAACCGAAATTTTTCCGCGATTTTCTGTTTAGCGTTTCGAAAAAAAACGCACGTAAACGCGCCCTTCGAAATACTACTCCGTGCTCGGTTATATTTTATAAAAGGTAGTAAAATTAGGTATATAAAATTTAATCTGTAAAATCCACTTCTGTCTATTGTCTTTTACCGTTGAAAATCGTCATACAGACGTCCATTTGACGACGGGTACGTCGCGTAATAGTCACACGGCAATAATCACACGCATGCGATTTCGTTGTCGTCTGCGTTATACAGGTTCCCGGGGTCTTGCAGAGCAGCTCTAAACCCGCGATGCAGTTTATTGCTCTTTCGCTTCGCTCTCTCCGGCACTAAAACAACAACACCCCGTTTTTGGTTTTGCCGTGCGTTGGCCCCGCACGACGCGGCGTGGTGGCGTGGCGTGGCGCGGCGACGACGACGACGACGACGGCGGCGACGACGACGCTGCTGCGCGGAGAACAATGGGAAAAAGAGGGATCGCGACGGGTCTCCCCTATATTATAATACGTATAATACACGATTGCGTGTGTACATGCAGCAGCAAGAACGAGGAGCAGAACGGGAAAAAAAAAAAAAAACCAACATTATTTTCCCGCCAGTCGATTATTGCCGCTGCCGCCGTCACCGCAGCCGTTGGTCCGAAACTCCCACCGGGCGCCAGTGGTGTTCGCGTGCGTGCGTCGTGTTCATTCACCGGGCACGGTACCGCCGCCGATCGGGTGAGTCCGCCACAGCCGATGGCGTACGGAAAAGCGGCGAGAGAAAACAACAAAAAAAAAAACCGATCGCGCGAATCGTGTGAGTACCCGTGCCGCGAGGCGCGAGTGGCGAGTGCGGAGTGCGTGGTGTGCAGTACGGACGTTCGCGCGCGTCTCAAACGATCGTCGTTTCCCTCGTATAACTCGTTCCCGGCAACGGCGGTGGTGAGTTTTTTTTTTTTTTTTTCGAAAACGAAAAACCAATGCGGAATTTGCTAACAATCTTTATCCCGGCGGAGCAGCTACAGCGTCGACGGCGATCGTGACATATTATTATTGTAATGTGTATTGTAGGAAAAATGCACAGAGGTGCCGGTAAATTTTTTTGTATTAAATTTATATTAAAAACTGTAATAATAATTATGTTTATCAGGAATTCAGATGGCGCGTAGAAAATCGTATTAAAATACACGTGTGTAGTGGTACTTGTTATTAATTTGTTGTTGATTAATATTTATAATTAGATTGTAGGTTGCGACGCGTTTCTCCCGTGCCCGTGTATATTGTTACGTGCGAATTAAAAAACAGTAACGAGGAATCATTACAAAAATCGCGGCCGCGGCGCCTAGGTAGTACACGTTCGCCAAAATGAAAAACGTACGAAAAAGAGAAAAAAAAATAAAAAAAATAAACGAGTATTAACGAAAAAAAAAAAACTAATTGCTATTTATTTCGTCGCGATACGCGCGCATAACACAGACACCGCGGTGTCGAAACCCGCGCAAAGGCGAGAAACGACCGCTCGAATGTCATCACGGCCACTCCGGACCGAATAACAACTGCCGTTACGGTCTCAACAACAAAAATTTTATATACTTAAATGAAACGCGATCGCGCGCGCTGCCGTACGTTCGCGATGGGTGCGCGGATATTCTGCAAACGCGTTTTCGACGGCGCGGATTTACGTACGCCGAGGTGTTCACCCGCGCCGATAACGTTATTATGGATTATCGCCCGCGCCGGTTTGAATAGGTATTCCGGCGCGGGTATTGGTACCGACCGTCCGGTCGGTGTGTACGCATGTAGGTGTAGGTACAGTAACGGCCCGGCGGAATGTTCCCGTGTAGCGGATCAGAGAGGAGAAAAAAATAACCCGAGAGGGTCGGCTCGTAAATTGCGTACAATCATATACAAGGGAGGTCGCTATTATTATTACGCACACACGCACACACACACACACACACACACACACGTGTATAATATATACCTACACTGTGTACAGGGTGATACTTTTTCGTCTATCGGAAATCGGCGGTTATAATACTGTAATGCCCGGGTTCACGTACAGCAATTAAAAATACCGCCTATATGCTGGCTATTGGTTGTAACGATTGATTATGGCCTGTTGAGATTCCGAGCAAATTTTTTTTCCCGCGGACATAATGACCGTCAGTATTTGTTACATCGTTGTATTATCGTATACGGTACGGTTTTCAAACTAAACCCCCGCGCGTGATGGGTTTTGTTATAAACTTATGTGAGAAGAAATTATTGGGAATTTTGAAAAAAAAAAAAAAAAAATATGTAAATTGTAAATGTTCGCCAATTTTATTATCATGCAATGACGGAGGTGGGGGGGAATACAAATATAAAAATTTCTATCGAAATCCTCGTACAGCCATTATGTTTTGTGTCCCACGTAACAGAGAAGGGCTTTGTTTTTCAATTGTTGGCAATTTTGTCGTATGTTATTTTTTCCCCTTTATTCGCCGGTCTCAATTGAATACGTGTAGTTATTTTCAATATTTAATTTGCAGCTCGCAGCGCTGTAAACTTCATGAAATAGAATCGAGTCCTCTTCCGGGACCAAAGATATTATTGTTATTACCATTATAAATCACTGATAAAGAAAAAAACACCCACCCTGTATATAATATGTTATAACGAATTCGCCGGCTGGTGTCTACCTCAACGTACCTACATACCTGAACGAGCGTACCTATACATATAATATAAATTATTTAGTTTTCCGGACGGGTGAAACCACCACTGCACATAACACTGCAATATAATATTATATTTATAACGAGATCGGTACTATAGGTACCTCTATATAGGTGCGACCATCCAAGGTTTTTTTTTTTCTAAATCCTACAATGCGTTTTTCAAGAAAAAAAAAATATATATATACGATTAATTTTGAATTCGTACCTTCTTACGTCATGACGAACGGTTGAATTCTGTATCCGAGAGTTCCGTCCCGAGAACCGTGTTTTTCTTTTTATTACGTATACCATGTCAAATTCCTTCCCGATTGATTGCAAATGTAAACTTAAATATATTTTCTTCGAACATAATCAAAATATTGAATTTCATGTTCTGAAGCTATAGAAAAAGTTAATAGTTTTGCAAAAACGCGTGATTTTTCAATCGGTGAACACTTAATATTTTTCAGTTTGCATAGGCGCAAATAGGGTTTGAAATTTGAAGGGGGCTGAAACCCTAGCTACCTACTCAATGAAGCAATTGTGGAAGCAATAAACACCTTAAAAATTTAGGAGGGGCAGAGGGGCATTTTCTCCCCTTGTCATCAGCAGACCGTTATTGAGCCTGGTATGGGCTGGTGTCTGACTAGTTTTGGGCCGCAAGCCCGCAAAAATGATTCATGTCATTATGTTTTACGTTTATACTCCATAGATATTGGCGAAAATAGCACATAAATTGGGATAAAATTTCTCTCCAAACTAAGTCTTCATATAGTAGCTAATAGATAATATATTTAGGTACCCCTTACGTATATATTTATTTTTTAGTCATTGTTGTACCTCAAGAAAATTAGTTATTTACGCATATGGTAGCAAATATAAAATTGTGTAAAAATGATTTTGACGAATAGGTTTTTTTTTCAGTTTATTATGGGCTGGTCAAAACTTTTGCCGCCTCCCCCTTTCTAAAACCGAAATGACGCCACCGAATTTATCAGGGATAAGCTTAGCCTCTAAGGTAGGCCTCTCCATATTTGCGCCTATGTCGGTTAGGCAAATGTTCAGAATTTCTCGCGCAGTAGGCACCTCGAGATACCAAAAAAGACGCGGGAATTCTGTATTTTATTCGAAACGTCCGTTTATCAGCTAATATAATTTTATTATTTCGCTCAGACTTGTTTTTCCGTTAACCATTTAAATAATGCGGGGAGAAAACTATTAAAAATAATAAACAAAATTCTGTTCGAAATTCACGGTTAAAAAAGGCATAATAATATTTGTACACTTTTTTTTTTTTTTTTTAAATATATTATCGGCATTTTAATGATTCGAATTTACGAGTAATAAATTATAGCCGTATATTGTCTTTGTGTAAAGTTTAAACGTATTTCTCGTGGTTTTATTTGTGTTTTTTCATTTTCATGTAATAATCATTTGAGATAATAATATTACATATAGATAAGTAAAAAGTCGACCTATCATCATAATGATAACCGAAAAGAAAAAACGTTCAAAGCCGGCATGGTTTTTTTTTTCTAATATAAATGGTATAGTTACACGGTTTTTTCATACAGGGATAGATATTTTTGTGTTTCTCATCCCGATTATGATTGTAAATAGTAATAATAATAATATAGAATTGTTTAAAAACGTACAATTTTTCGTTTGAACAATATAATGGCCGTTCATTCATTGTATATATTCATTACAAATAAAGTTCCGACGGCCTTGAACAACAATTCGGTGGACATATTTTATTATAATTGGTTTAGCGCGCGTTTTTTTTTTTATTAAATTTTTTTCTCCTATTAGGTTATAAGGTCATTGCTTATAGATTTATTAGATATAATAATTATGTTTAGGTACAATCAGTGGGAGGAGGAGATTAGGAGTAATACTCCTCTTCCCGTTGGTTTAAAAATACTACTGTGACACAATCTATGAGTATTCATATAGGTAATGATTTTGTCTCGAAATTAAATATTTTAGCCAATTTACAATGTAAAAAGCTCGATTAATTGAAGAAAAATAGGGGGGTTTTTTTTTTTATTATAACCGGCATTTAAATTCTCATAATCGGGTTACAGGTAGGTATAACAGAAGAAGATTCTAAAATTTATTCATGAATCTTGGTTATTATTCATACTATATTACCTCCTACTGAAAATACGTGAAAATGTCACTGTTTACGATCGGAAATATCGTAGGGATATTGCGTCGATTTTTAGCGTAAAAAACGACTAAAAAGACTTGGGGTGGTACTATATAGATATAACCGAATACCTACTGCTAAGTACTCGTAAGTACCGAATCGACACTCGCAACAATATTCGTTCGCATCATTTCACAGTAATAATAATGGTAAATATATTTCGTCTTGTTTATTTAGTTAAACGGGTGGGAGTATACATACATAGTATATACAATATAATACACCATAATTTATAATTTATTACATTATAATAACGCCGCAATAGTTAAAATGTATGGCAGGTATTTACAGATTTCAAAAACAAATATGACAGTATCCACAGGGGTTTATAATATAATATAATTAATGACTTTGGCTTCCCGGAAAAACTAATAAAAACTAAAACTTACGAAATTATGCATGAAAGAAGCGAAACACAGGGATAATAGTAGAGAACGAGTCATCGTCATCTTTTGCTGTGAACACTGGACTGAAACAAACAGCGACCCTGCTGGCCCTGGTATGATTAAAAATAGGATTACAGATTAATGCCGATAATACTGAAATAATGGAACTACTTGAGAGCGATGAAGATCCTAGACAATTGGAAGGGCTGTAATATACGAAAAAGTAAATGAATTTAAATACTTAGAGATACCTAACTTTGGGCAACGAAAAACGACTGGGCTAAGGAGATAGACATCCGTCTAAATACTCTATATAATAATATAAGACCGAAAATGCGTATTTTGCGATAAAAAATTACTTCCGATCCAAACTTATCAAAGAAAATCTAAAGTAACGCTATATGTAACGATGGTAAGGACAATTATTATTTACGGGAAGGTTTCCTATCTAGATTACAACTAGCCAAACTGAAAAAAAACTGACGACTTACAGAATGTAGACGAGAATAAGTGGTCTAGTGGTCCCAAATATGGGTATAAATATGCCGAAGGTAAGACTTCACGACATGGTCCACATGGCACCATTAACCAGTTAGGTATATTAAAGGGCACAAGCAATAATGGCTAGGCTATAAAATGAGAGTGATAACGTCAGAGAGGCGATGAAATAAAAACCTCCGAGAAAGACTCAGTCATGGATTGGCGTGGTCGAATGGAGCGAAATAATTCACGACAGGGAAAAATAGCGTGAAGTGTTGGCGGTGAAAATTTTAAGAGAGGTATGAAGGCCACAAGAAGAAGAATATGACATCGTCACAACGAAGCCTTTGCTGCATTCAATTTTGATATAATTACCTATATTATAGAACATCATCATCATTGATTGTCAATATAATCGTGTTTTTTTAAATTTTTTTATTATTATTTTACATTATTTATTATTTATATAGGTTCTATTAAAAAGATAGCAATTTGTTTATTTGTAATCGAAATTCATATGAATCGTATTAATTTTTTGTTTTCACAGAGACTAACGGACTCAAAGAATACAAATAGCGACACAGAGTTGATTTTTTCAAAATAAACTAGTTTTTTTTACTTTCTTTATGGAAATCATAGTGATACTTACGGATTAAAAATATTATTATTTACATAATACCAAGGTTATTGAAAAATGTATAGGTAACTACATTTTCTGCTTAATTAATATTCCATATTACATTTATTTTACAGTTAAATGATAATCGCCCGTCGCCGTAAGATTAAAACAACGAAAAGACGTGTGTGTCTTCGGGACAAAAATTTCGCTAGATTTAAAAAAAAAAAAAAATAGGAAGAGAAAAAAAAAACAAGTTTTATTCATTGACCAACAAGAAGCCGTACGATATTGTTACCAGACACCGGAGTACGAGACCGTAAGCCACCAGCTATCGGGTTTCGATATTGTCGTCTTGCGTTACCACGCGTTCCCATCAACCCCGAGGAAATTGTACTCGCACGTAAGTATGGTAAGAACACGTATTTTAAAACAATAATAATATCAAGAATATAATATTATGATTTTTATGAATCGAGCGGACGGACACAAACGAGTACCTGTACTACCTAGGTGGGTATATGCTGCAATGTTGCACGTTTTTCCCTCTACATACACGTCATTTGGGAACTATACAAAGAAAAACGTTTTGCGAACGCACCTATATAAATTAAAAGATCCTGAAAGAGTTACGCAGTATAAGCTAAACTGTTTTTTCGAACGTTTCAACATTCATACTTTTTTTCTTGTCATAAATATGTTGTTATGAATTCCTACACTCAAGTACTGGTTTCGTTTTGGTGGATAGAGTTATAATTTGAGCTTGTCTAGCACCATTTGAAACCAGTACTTGTCGACGGAATGTCTTCTGGATGAATCAATATATTTAGTTTAGTTACTACCTACTTAATATGCAATTGTTTACTGCACTACATAGTATTGTATTTTTTTTTTTTTACTTTGTTGTTTAATATGTTATAGAACTGAAATTAAATTATACATTATCTAAAAATTATCAAAGTAAAATGAGCTTTAATTATTATTTATTAAAGACAAAATATCTATAATACATTCTGAACTAGACATTTGCTCTTATTTCATGTGTTTCTTCAAAATATTCATAATTTCTCTGAAAAAGTTTTAAAAAAATTATGTATTAGGGCATTTTGTAATACTATAATATTCTATGCTTCATTGTTAAAAAAAATGTACAGCTTTAACACTTGTAACTTATATTCAGTATTTATAAATTATATTTTAGTTTTTAAAGAAAAATTATTATGACTTTTTATTACGTCTTGAATAATTATATTATTATTATTAGTATTTTGTAATTAAATATGATTACTTAATTGTGTATACATTTTTTCAAATCGATTAGGTACTTACATTCTTTACACTCAACACATGGAAAGAGTAATGAGATAATACAAATAATGCTTTATACAGTGGATTATTAAAATTATTCAGGTGAACAGGTAGGTCTTTATTTTGCAAATAATTTTGTTGAAATTGTTGTTATAGAATAAACTTTTAAGTTAAATATTAAAGTTTTATTTATGTTTATACTTTTTTTTTTTTTATTGCACATTTTTTATACTTAAATAGTTTATTTTTTCAATAAATACAATTTAATTTCTTCTGTTTTATAATAGTCCAGAAAATGAAAAATAAACCCAATTAGAAATGTACTAATCATAATTTTGATAATTAAAATACAAACAAAAAATAAGTTTATTTTGTTTTTATTAGATTAGATCTCAATTATTATTGTAATCACAACATATTAAAACTTAATCGACACACTCTAATTTAAAAATATAAATCAAGTTCAAAATTTAATTCAATACAATATTTACTTAATAATTCAATAATTCAGTTAAAATATTAATTTAAACATATTTAATAATTTATGCATCAAGATATGTAGTATAATCGTTCATATCATCAATGGTATTAGATTTATAATCTGTCAACTATCATAGCACACAAATATGTTTATCTAACTATAATATATTTTAATTAGTTTTGTATTAAATGATTTATTTTATCTGGCCAGTAAAAGTGAATGGAATAATAAATGCGATTTAGTTATTTTATTGCAATATATGACATTTATGTATAAAAATTGAATAACAAAATAAATTATAAACTACAAAATATATTTAAAATCTAGATTAATAATGTTAGTTTGCTGGACAGTGGACAAGAATATTTTGTTGATTAGAAAATAATAATCATAATAATATTAGAGTTATACCATTTTAAATACCTAAATAAATATTTTTTAAAAAAAATATCCCATATATAATGAATAGCTAAAAAACTGATTTCATTTAGAAAGATCATCAAAATTTATTAACAATTATGTATTTTATACAAGTAAAGTTTTATATAAATCAATAAGTTTATTTGCTCACTTTTTTAGTTTATTTATTTTCTCTAATCACAAAAACTTACATAAGTAATTTCGATATATTGACAATTTGAATTTGATTTAGTATATTATAAATTGCATATTATATTTTATAAGGCATATAATTATTCTACTAACTATTTTTACATGTGAAAATTGCTAAAAATTGTATTTAATAATTTATTGATAGGAAATTGAATATAACTATTATTCAGGTAAATGGCAACCCTTTAATTGTTTTTTTTTTTTAATCAACAACATATTATCTACTTAAAAATTTCTATTTAATTTTTAATGCTTTACACTCAATATGTATTGTATTAAGACTATTAAGATTAATGTCTACATTGATTTTTTGCTAAACTATTGTAATTTTTGAAGAAACTCCTATAAATATGAGGTAAATAAAATAGCTATTTTAAAAATTAAACCAAATTTTTTTTTGAAATGTATGTTCGCCAAATATTAATATAAGAAAATTGTTTGTTTAACAAAAAAAAAAAAAACAAATTTTCAAAATAATGTTTGTGTCTAAAATATTAAAAGATGTTATACAATTTCTGTAATAAACAATATAAACACAGAGTTCTATATACTAATAAAAAAACCTATTATTTTGTGATATAAATTGTAAGTTTGTAAAACTACTTTGCACTTGAAAATCAATAATTTATTTATATTTTAAAAATATTAGAGTACCTATATAAAATAGAAAATTAATACCACTTTTTTCTTAATATATAATCTCTACAGAATTCAGTTAAATAAATAATTTTTTATTTCTTAATGAAAATAATTTTTCTTAAAATGTTCAATGATACACACCTTAGTATCACACTCATAAAGTAAATTTGGTACAAACAAGTTATAAATACAAAGGAATACCAAAATAAGTTTACAATAATTTGATACTAAGCTGTTAATTTTATTTTGAAAATTAAAAATAATATTATAAAAACTTAATTTAAAAAGGTTTTCATTTATTTGAAATATAACTGATATCTTTACATATATTATACTACATCCGATTGAGCATTTAACTAAAATGTACAATTGAAAACATTGGATTTATTAGAAATTATAATTACCTAAATAATTAAATGACATACATGCCATTTAAGCAACAAGGGTGCCTTCATCTGCATTTGGTGCACCTTGTTTCCTCAATTTATGTCTCCTTTCCAATAAACGTTTTTCTCTTTCATAATCCTTCATGCGATCCAAATAACTAAAAACAATAAGCACATAAATATGGAAATAAAAATCACATCATGCAAATGAAAAAAAAAGTTTATTATTTTACTTAATAAATTGAATAGTGACATAATAATATTCTAACATTTTAAAGACCAATGAGCTTACAAGAACCTATAAGCCAAAAATAACCATAATGAAGGACAAAAATGGAATATTGTTAACCTAAAAAACATAAATAGCAAGGGAATTTAAAATAATGTTTCAAAACCTACTGAACAAGATCATTGATGGACCCCAAATAAGCACTTAGTATATGTTGGTAGAACCAGATAATAAGGAACCTAGTGTAGAGAAAATTGAAAATACTCAAAAGTAATAAGGCTGTAGGAAACGATGAAATAGCATCCAAATTATTAAAAAGTTAAAAATGATAAGCTTAATACATCAGAGCGAGATTTCTGGTAGAAAAGTTATTAGCAGAAAAAAATAAAAATAAATATCAATGTAAAACCAATACATTTCTCGCTACGCTCCGAATCTCAAAGATGTTTATGAATGTTGAATTTGAACTCAATAATTTCCGATTTATAAATACTGCATTAGCCCATTAAGACAATATAAAATTAGGTAAAAATGGATTTTCTCGTTTACTCTATAAATACTTATTTGTAACAATTTATATCAACGGAATGAATGATGCTATTGTAGCATTTTTTACAGCAATTTTTAATGTTTGTAACTCTAATAATAAGCCAGAAAGATTACTGTTTTAGCTTAAAAAAAACAACTAAACTTTAATAAAAACCTATAGATAATTAAAAATATTAATAATGTTGATTTTCAAGTTTTTCAAACATATTTTAGATTAATTCCAAAAGTTATATTTTAAAAAAGGTTTATATAAAAAAAACATTAAAAATAAGTATGATAAATAAGTTTCGATTATACTAATAGATTAAACAATAAAAACGAAACGTCTGGGGAAAAAAAAAAAAATTGAAAATATTACATTCTAACTAAAAATTTTAAAAATGTGTACAACAGAAAAATATATGCTAGGTAATTATGTTTGTAACAAAAATAATAAATGATTTTAATTTAAAACACTTGGCATTTTTGTTCAACTACAGCCTCAAAAATTATGGTGTGTTTAACTGAAATCAATTTTCTTTAAAGAATAAACCAAAACTTAATTCACATAATATACCTATCTAAAAAAGGTTTGACTAAAAGAGTTAATATATTGAAGGTAGAGAGCCTAAAAAGAAAAACTATAAAGAATTAATGCAGAGACAAAAAAAAATTCAACTAAGGATCCAGTAGGAAATCCGTTGAAGCTCGAGTATATAGTGACCTAAGTTAGGAAGGCAAACATGTCAACAAAATGTGCATGGCATGTAGTAATATATATATTGTTAAACAAATTGTAATTTCAAAACTTAGGTCAAGTAATGAATTATATTTTCAACCATAAAGCAGAATAAAATATTTTTAAATTACTGGAAAGGTAAGATTTTTCCAACCCAACCTACTCTAACCTTTCAATGTTTAATCAAATGCACCTTACAATTTTTAAAGTACATAGCAAAATAAACTATTTAATAAATACTAAAAGTAATAATTAACATTAAAACTCAACAATAATGTCTTACTCGTGATATTGGCATTCATAATACTCTTCTCTTTCATGGTGACAATGGTGGTTAAAAGGGAAGTGTTCCCTGATGCAGCCTCTTAAATTTAATAACATATGTGCACAAAAATCTCTAGCATCTATCGGAACTTTAGCTGATTCCATTTCGGCCAGGGTAGCAATCATTTCTAAAGGTAAAATAAAATAATAATATTATTAATATATAAATCGTTTAGGTATTAGTTTATAAAGACGAAATACTTTTCTCCCGCCTTGGTACGGAAAATCCATAGTGAGGATCAAACTGTGACGGCGTACCCCGCAACGGGGTTGTTTCTGGAGTTACATATTCTGACCATGCGTGTCCCATCGTTCTATTATAATATATTACTTTTATAAAACAACTATCATATATTATACAGTATTATGGGAAAGTAGATGGAAACTAGTAATATGTAAAAAAATATAATTATCAATAACTTTGAAAGAAAACGAATGTTAAAAAATAAAATGATAAGGAATCTTATAACTGATTAAAGTCATGAAACAAAAAAACAAATCAGCTGTTTGAAATGCATGTAGGTATATAAAATATATAAATGTAATATTATCTATATAGACCAATAAAAGTGTGAAAAATCGAATATCAATACACAATATTGAAAACAAACAATTATTGTCATTCTCATTCATCAGATTCAGCATTACGCATCAATGATTACGCACATTATGATCTAATTGAATAAATATAATTAACCTGTAACGATCAATAATCCAATCTTAATTTTCTAGTCAGTTAAAAGTGTACAGTCTAAAGGTTTACTTTATTATAAACTTCTTAATGTACTTAATATTATTCATTTATTTTTATTAAATATTATTTCTTTCGGCATTTCTGCTCAATACAATGAGTTTAAAAATATTCAGTAACATCCTATTTTCTCCAAAATCTTTGTAAGTACATTTACAATGAATACCTACCTAATATTAAGTACCTAGGTATAATTAATTTAATTTCTGTATCTTCTGCAATTCAGTATCATTATACTATTATAGTGTTATAATTATACAATTATTAAGTAGGTACTTGAGGTGTATTTTTTGTAATATTTTCTATTTTAATACAGCGCAGAATATTAAACACAAATAAGTAGGACACTTACTTTGGTCATATTATTGTGCTTTGTGTGACTATTGCAATTTAACGTCGAAGATTTTTCGACAAAATTGAGGTAGGTAGTGTTATAAAAAAAAAATGTTTCATGTGCATAGTAGGTACCTAATACTTTTTTTTTTTTGACACTAGAAAAACAATAACAATTTTCGGAATATTACTATTTGTTATTTGTAGAAAAAGCAAGTGTTTATTACTTATTTATAAAATATACGTATTACATAGATAGCCTACCTATAGACACCATAGACACCTACCTAGATAAGTTACTTAAATACCCAAGTTCGTATAATAAGCCTTACGTAGATACCTAATTGATGACATGGATATTTTTTATTATCTATTTTATAAATCAACTTTCATTTTTTTTTTTTTAAATTGTGTGTTAGCCATAGTAGGTATTGGTGGTTTGCACGATACGCATCACAGGTTTGACGAGGAAGGGATAGAATTTGCCCGCTGATCTTTGTTAACTCCTCAAATGTTTTGAGCACTTCGACGAATTCTATCACGATATAATGACGTATTTGCTGCAATACTTTTACCTACCTCAGTAGCAGAGCCAGCCTGAAAGCGGTGCAAACTGTGCACTTACACATGGCTCCGCGCTTTTAAGAGACCCCGCGTTTAGTCGCAATCGTAGCTAAATTACACATAGATATTTCACAAATTAGTTAGGAAAATACGAATTAAAATTAACAGACTAAGAATTATTGTACTGTAAAGATTCACCTACGCATATAGTATAAGAAGGTGAAAAAGTGAAAAAAAAAAATAAACTTATTGAGGCCCCGCAAAATGGACTGCGCAGAGCCTCGATATTTTCTAAGCCGGTCCTGCTCAGTAGTACCGTAAATCCCCGTGGACACATGACTGCCAAACAGTGAACAGGATACTGCCCGAATAATCCCTGACCAGTTACTTGGTAGATTCCTCCTAAACAGAACACTGCGTGGCTACGCAAGTGTTCTGATAAGTTAACGAATTGGACTTGCCTGATAGAGTACTTTTTTACGACTTGAACCATCATCAGTGGAGGATCTGAACATTACTATCCTATTGCTGTCGTCGTTTATTGGAAAATAAAATCGAATACATATAGTGTGAGGGTACGCATTCTAATCCCCCAGTTCATCCCCTTACGATGATAAATACATCCTAGAAGCCCATGCTGATAATAGGTTCTCTGCGGCCCGATTTATGGACCCTGACGATCTTGGGTCCCATATAAAATTAGGTAGAGTCCTGGTAGATCGAGGTAGCGAAGGGACCAAATTTTCGGGGGACGTTTGTTTATTACTTTTTGTCACAAATGTAAATGCGTTTATCTAGAAAATAATAAACAATGCCTTTGAAAAGTATCGTCACATGTTTTCACTATTATTTTATTTATTTATCAACGATATCGGCTAGTCTTCGTTAATGCAATTTTTTATTATTATACTTTACACACTAATTTATATTTTAGACGGTAAAGTTAATAAAGTAATTTTTTATTTATCTGTGCGCAACTTTTTTACGTGTAGCACCTTTTCTGAAAGGAAATCGGTGTGGGAAGGTACTTTAGGGAGGTAATTTTTTGATTTTCTCAGGAGTTTTCACATTTTCCCAGAAAATGTGAAAAACTGGGATAAAACACGGGACAACCTGGAAAAACGTAGAAAAATTGAAAAAATCGGTACAACATTAAACAAATGTTATTAAAGGAAATATATAAAGCCTGTTTAATTATTTTTTTTATTATAAAATGACATATTTATTGTTGACAAAGCATTACTACTAACTGAATTCCGCTCAGAATCGTTTTTTCGTAAGCAATAGTTAATCGTTGCTTACAGTTATACATTAAATTCCCGTCTATATCCTACCTTCCCAACTTCCCACCTACATCATTGGCTGCACCCGTCCCCATTATCTTACCTTTTTTTTCGTATGTTGTTATATAAAACATATAAAGCTGTGTTACCACTGATAACAATAGTTAATGAACTTAATATGGAATCTTTATAATTTAGAAAGCAATACTGTGCTGTGCGATGATTATATAATATAATTTGTTAAATTCTAAAATAAATTTCCCTAAAATTTTATCCTCAATCCGTTTTAATATTCCTAATTTCATGCTTCATTCCACATAACAATACATAAGAATAACATTTATTTTTTCTCACCTGTTACTTCCTACCTAGGTTAAAAAATTGAGTGTTAAATATTAGTTATGAATAACTATTAATTTCTTTATATATCACTTAATATTAACCTTATATATTTGTATCCACGTACTGTCATACTATGTTAATTTAATTTATTCTATATCTATTATCTAATAATAATCTATATATTATATATAACCACAACCTTTAATATCATATGTATAAATGTATTACATATTTTATTTATTATAGTGGTATCTATTTACATACTTAATTACTCAACTTAATCACTTAATTTATATCTGTATTCCATGTCTTAAAGCCTTTATAAGTTAATAAGTAAATAAATAAAATTTAAAAAAAATGAATTCACTTTCTTCCTACTCAGATATGACCTAGCTAAGTATAATCTAAATTGGATTTCAAATTTCTCGTGGAATTCTTGGAAAGATAACCAACATAGCATAATATATATAATGCCCAGCTAAAAAGGCAACCAACAAGATATCCTTACACATAATGTTGCGTTATATTATATTTTGTTGGTTGCCTTTCTAGGAGTTCCACGGGGAATTTGAGTTCCAACTTACAATACTACTTGCAAAGCTATATCTGAAGAGAGGGGATCTATTTTTTTTTTAAAAGTATTGTTTGTTATGGGGGACTATATTTTGTTGGAAAATATTTGCTCGGAACCGTATTATTTTGGAAAATAATTTGTCGGAAACGTATTCTAATAGAAATATACAAGTATTTGTTCGGAAACGAAAATACGCATTATATTAATTATGTGCAATGTGCATAGTGCATACCACATATGCACACGTGGATAGAAATTCTTACATCATCACCCACGCAAAGTTTATCTTGTTTGTCCCACCATATTTTCTGGGGTTTGCCTTCCATGATAGGTGCAACTAGCTAATGCTCAAATATTTGAGATGCTAAATGCCTCTATTTTTTTTAACAAAAAAAACAAATCTCTTCGTTATACATATTATGATATTACAAACATTACTCGAATTAGTGGAAAATGACTCAATTACTTTCTGCTATTTTATATTTTGAGTGTAGCGAGGGATGTATTGGTTTTACTATGATGTATGTTTTTTGTTTGTGCTTGTGAACAATTATTCTAGCAGAAAAATTGCTTCGATGCATCAAGTGTAGCACTTTTTCTAAAAGGAAATTTTAAGTAGTTAGTGCATTAAAGAAGTTATTTTTTGATTTTCCTGGTAATTTTCATAATAATTGCATAAAAATCAGTCTATTAAGACTGAAGGATGGTGGATACGTCTCTTTTTGCAAAAAAATATATTTATTATTTAATATTTTCAAAGAATGTGTATGATCAACTCAAATTAATTATATATATATTTCTTTTGTGAAATTCAATACATTTATCGTTCAGAAAATTATTATTTTTTCTGTATTGAGCTTTTGTCCAATGTAATTAGAGTAATAAAGTAAGTAATTTAATCAAAATCAAATGTTTGTACAAAATATATAAAAATAGAACATAAATGTATCGTTTATTATCTATGTAGATCGTAGGTACTTATAAAAGTGCAAACAATTGAATAACAATATATAACACTGAAAACAAACATTTGTCGTAATTTTCATTTATTACGTTCAGCATAACGCTTCAATTACTATATGTGCACAATAAGCTATAATTGAATATATATAGCGAACATAAATGGAACGAAAAACCATGTATGATTAAACCTTAATTTTCTATTCAGTTAAATTATGAGTCAGTAACCTAAATAAAGGTCTAAGTAAAGGATCTATAGGTTTACTACCTACTTTATGTAGGTACCTATACTTAATATTATTTACTTATTTTGATTAATCATAATTTCTTTGGGCATTTCTACTCAATACGATAAGCCTAGATTATTTAGTAGGTAGTATCATAATTTCTCTAAAGTCGCTATGAGTACCTATACAATGTTTCTAATGAAGTAAAAATGTATTTAATTACTATACTTAATAAGTTACATTCGCCGTAATATCTTCTTTTTAATAAAGTTCTGAGTAAAAAAAAAAAATATTTATAGGTTTAGGTACCCTATAACAATATCGAAAATTCTAAGTAGGTTCATGTTTGATTTCCAGCTTGTTTCTGAAGTCTGTAGGAACTTCATGGAGGTGAATCACCGAGTATAAGTATTAAGTATATTCAAATGAGGCTGTTTCATTTCGTGATATTCGAAACTGTCACTAAGAATTATGTATAGGTAAAAAAATAATGTTTAAATGTCAATGGTTCAGTAATGATCAGTATCTGACATAGTGTCTCAGTAGGGTGAACGCGTAGGGTTTCAAGTAGATAGAAAATAGGTAGATCAGAGTTCAAATCCCACAAATGGTCAAAAAAGTCACTGTCTTTTGTTCTTCATTTTTTATGTTTTTTCACCAGCATGAAAGTCTTAGGGATTTCCTTATTGTGGCAGATCCAGGAGTGGATATTTGGATTTTGTGGGGAAGGTTCCGGGAAACCTGATCTTAAAATGGGGTACTTTGGCCAAATTACTCGTACGTTTAAAGTGTCTATTGTTGTTTACGGCCGAAGATTTTAGATAAAATTCCGATAGGTAGGCAAAACAAAAACAAATTTGAAGTAACTAATTTTAGAGACCTGAAAATTTTCACCAAATACTTATGATAGCATTTTAAGTGTTTTGAGCGAGACTACTCCATTTTTTTTAAAAATTCTGTTAAAATTATCTAATAAAGAAAAAAAAAAAGAGTATATTTTGTTCGGGAATAATACAATTTCAATAGCCCAGAAGTATTTGGAGCTTTCTGATTTTTCCGTCGAAGAACAAGATAAAATTACAAAACGTAATATGTTACATATTATGTGAGACAGGCCTAATGTTTACCTAAATTATTTATTTGCGTATTATTAGGTTGTGGCACTGGTATTCACGAGTCACAGTGTTTGTAGACTGAATTTTTAATTCGTCATATTATAATATATTTCTGAGAAGAGTACTGAATAATAGATAAGGACTTAATATGAACAAATAAAAAAAATTATTGATCTACATGCATAATACTATGTTGTATTATAACAAATCACAAAAAATGTACGTCCGGAATTTAACACGCATGTTAAACAAACGTACAAACGTGTGTTATCTACTGATTGGCACCTCGGCCCAGTCCAGAATACATGTATTTTTATTAAACCTGGGACCACGATCAATCAAGTTTTATATATGTTATATTTGTAATTTGGAGGTCAAAATTAATTTTAAAAACAACTTGTTATTTGCTTTAACGTCTAACATTGACAGTTGTTCGAATACATAGTTTAATATCATTTCAATCCAAAGGACATCAATGTCAGATTTAAAATTGGTGTGTACATAAACGACTTCATACCAACATTATCAAAATCTCAAACTGGTTCTTTATATCAACTATTTTATAATAGGTATGACGAAAATTGGAAACCGCAGTGCTTTATAGAAGTAGTCTTTTATTTTGATTTATTGTATTCCATATTAGAAAAAGTTTATTCGTTCGAATAGATTGTGGCATATAAGTGTACTAATAAATTCAATTGCAATTTTTTTAAATTTGGTTTTTGTGTAATTTTCTATTTTTTAAAATTAAGGTTTCTTTCGATATTTTTTGTTTCCGAGACACTGATATAATCTCAATAAATGTCGTTCAAAAAAGAGGAATCTATTAATAGAGATATCTTTTAAATACATATAATTTTTCATTACCCCTCCAAGAAAAATGTTGAAAATCCGCTACTGATTTAAACTATTGATACCTAACCTACGAATTTTTTACGTGTAATTCACTATTATTTTACGTTCAGTGCCGTATGGATAGGAATTTAATATAGATCAGAGTAATATTATAAAAAATAAAAGGAGTCAATAAAAAAAAAAAAGTTCATTGTTTTTAATAGGAAAATTAATAAAAATCTATAATATTTTTCAATAATTTCAAGGTAATTCCGTATAGACAGAACATTACATGCAGATGACACTTCTAAGCTAAGAGAATTTGCGGCACAATGAACGTACATATTTAGGATATTGCTACCTAAGATATTTCTTTAGGATGTTTAGATTGTATTATTGTTTATTGATTTATTTACAAACAAGGTTACCTACATTTCAAAAATCACAACATCTACAATAATTACAAATATTCTTATTTTATTTATGGTTAATAACCATTTATTATTATCTTAATTCATTATGCCAATTACTATTTAGTACCTTTAACATTATTATTAATAAATTAAAAAATGATTTTAAAATAACTATGTTGAAATGTTTGTAAAGACGTTTGTACATTCCATGTTGTAAAAGGGGCAATGAATCACCTAAACCGACTCCCAAGGGCGTCCTTATGGGGAGGGGGAAGAGGGAAGAAATGAGCCATTGGTCCAGTAGTAGATGTATAATCAATATATTACTTGCCATAGGTAATTTTTTTTCTTATTAATCGTTTATACTAAATTTAACTATTTCCCATAGCCGTGGTCTGGAGACGCCCATGGCCAACCCGTGTCTACAGCCCTAATTACGTATGTGCCAATGTGGTCACACGAACTAAATGCCCACGTTTATTATACGTATGGTATTTACAGGGTAGTGGGTACAGTATTTTACCAATGGATAACAGCAATTATATGTAATTTTTGCTGATTCCGGCATCCTGGTTGTCGAAAATTTAGGGCATTCAGTAATTAAGCAGTTGAAATAAACAATATCGCGAAACAAGTACCTAACTAGGTTGTATTGCCAAAAAACATGTCTATATCACTTGTATAGTCGTATTATTGGCAAACGGTAATGTTAATAAATAATAACTTAATTGAACAAATTTGATAAGGCGATTATATTTTAATTCTTTGTTAAACATATATTTTATTGTTATTTCCTGCCTAATAAATTATGGTCGGTGATAATAATTGCTATTATTTTTTATTACACAAATTTCATTGCGGTTAATTGGTAGGTACCTAATCAATGTGTAGATTATACAGTGTTTAATATACAGAGAAACAATCATTTAGGTAATAAATTTTGTACCTGTTTATACCGATAAAAGTATTGTTTAAACAATAAATTAATAATTGTTAACCAATTAGTTAGGTATTTATGGATAGTAAATATTATTAACACCTATAATAATAATAATAATAATAAAATTAATTAATTAATTCGATATAAATATTGGAAAAACTAGATTTTATAGCATAATGTGGCGTTTTCCCAAAATGATTTTTAATTTTTTTTTTTTCAAAATAACTCAATATAAATCATTCCTATGTAATATATTAATGTATCTGTCTTCGCATATTTAATAGTTTCTTTTTCTCGTCAAATGCGGATACCTACTATTTATTGCGTCATTTTATCGGGGTCGCAGGTTTTCCAATTATATTACATTTAAAAATTAATTTTTTCCATTTTATAATCTTTTTATTGATTGGACTTCCATTTATCCACTGCACGTAATCTATTTAAGCGGAAGGTGTACGGTCGTTTTTACGGATGAATATAACTTTTTAGATTAATAACTGTTGGTGAGGAACTAAACATATACGTCCCAATGTTCGATTTAAATTGTTAAAGTATTTATGGATTTATTGAGAAATTGTCGAGGTTTTAAGAAAATCGATTTTCGATTAAAAATTTGGTATGCCTAAAATAAATACAAATGGAATTCGGAATGTTCATAAATAATATCATAGGTAGTTTTAGGCGTCTCCAAAACTGAAAATTAAAAATCGACTTCCTAAAGTCTCGATTACACAGAGCGAATTTACTCGTTGTTACCTACTTAACTCGCGCTGACGGTCGGGCTATTTTCGTCGTTACTCGCTAGCTATTTTACACTCCACCTAGTAAAATCGCTTTGTGTAATTCACATGGCTATCAAAATAACTAGTGTGCTTGCAACTATAGTTGTGGTTGCAAGATTTTGGAGGCTGTAGTTCACGCAATCGGACAGGCGGTACACGCTCAATTGTCGCGCGCGACTTTGGTCGACGAGTAAACTCGCCCTGTGTAATTGAGGAATTTGTCAATAAAATGCATACACACCTATTTTAAACATTTAAATCGGACATCGGAAAGTAATCTTAATTTTAAGTCTCTAATTTACATTGCTTATTGGTCTAAATCATTATATGAAAACATTAAAACAAGTTGCCTACGCTCCGAACCTTAATAAGCCTGCGCACGATCTGTTTTTTTGTTCAAAAAATGTTTTACAGGTAAAACTTTCATACCCCGTAGAATGTTCTGATTTTGATAATTTTTGTGCTGTTGGAAAAAGATAATATTATATACCCAGGTATATAATATAATATTTGTAAAATTTTAAGATTAACAAAATCTTCACAATGTGGAATATATGAGCAGCTATTGTACAGAAGTCGAATGAATGATGCACGGAAACCTCCAATTGATATTGATAATTTACAAACCATGCAAGATAGTAATTATAATAATTCTATTTTTCATAATACTACCTAACTTAACTAATTATACACAATTGTCGTATAGTTAAACTAAAATTATTTAATATAATGGGTATAACTGGAAAGTATGAAAATGAAGATAGAAGTTGGTTGTCAAAATATTTACCAACAACGCAAAGTGAACTACCTCCTCGCTCTATGAATGTAAGTGTTAATACCTATTTTGTTTATTTTTCATTAAAAAAATCTGAAGAAAATTATAATTTTTTTTAACAAATAGTTGTAAAATATTTATCTTCAAAAATTATATAGGATAGTTATGATAGAGCAATAGTTCCTCTGAGTACTGACTTAACATTACAAAATAAGTACACAACCACACACAAGGGTTTACGAATGGGGCGTCTTCTAGAAGATATGGATCATTTTGCCGGTAAACTGAAATGAATAAATAGTTTTTATTATCAGTTATGTACCTAATATTTTTAATTTTTTTTTAAGTTTGGATTGTTATGAAGCATATTTATAACCCAAAACAGCCGGTTGATATTCCAACACCATATGTTGTTGTAACATTATTGGTAGACGATGTAATCATCAATCCAATTAGATTTGTAAGTTGACTTAATTAGTTTGAATAAAAAAAAAAATAGATATATACAAATATTTTTATTTTAGCCCGATAAAGATTTAATTCTCAGTGGTCAAGTAACACATGCTGGCAAAACTTCATTAGAGGTGACTTTATGGTTGGACCAAATAAATGGCGATAAATATGAGCGCATTACTAGAGCTCATTTTGTATTTGTGGCTCGAGATCCTACTAATACATCATCAGTCATTGTTAATACTTTGGTACCATCAGGAGAGAGAGAAGAACAAATATTATTTCGCTCCGCAAGTAAATACTAGATAACATAATTTAGAATTTAACAAATACATTTAATGTTGTATGAAAAAATTTAAAAAATGTATACAGAAAAAAATGAGGATAGAAAAAGAGCACGCCAAAATTCTATATTAAATAGAATGCCAACCTCAGAAGAACAATCATTGATATATGAAACATTTATGAAAACTGTTGATCAAAATGAACCAATAATTGGTAATAAAGTGTTGCCAATCAATAGTGTGTGGATGGATGATACTAAAATTGAAACTAACATTCTTTGCCATCCTGAAGTATTTTTTATGAATACCATAATATAGTTTTGTAATAATTTAAAATAATTTTTATATAAATATATATATGTAAATTTTTTTAGGACCGAAATTTACATTACACGGTTTTCGGGGGTTATTTGATGCGTGTAGCTACTGAGCTTGCATTTCTAGTGGCAAGCATACACAGTAAAACAAGAGTGGTGTCACAAGCAATTAATAGTATTACTTTTCGCAAACCAGTTCCAATTGGTAGCAGATTGAAATTAATCGGAAAGGTAAATTTGAAATTATTTATAAATGTGAGTTATCTTGACATTTATTAGTGTTTAATTTGTTAGATTTGTTATACAAGTGGTAGAATAATGATAGTTGAAGTTATTGCTAAAGTTGAAGAAATTGAAAGTAAAAAAAGTTTGACTTCAAATTCATTTTATCATGTATTTGTTGCACCAAAAGATGTTGACGCAGTGTTACCTCAAGGCTATCACGGTAAAAATAATGAATTTCAAAATTATATATATATATATATATAACTAATTTAAAAAACTTATTTTTAGATTCAATGCTTTATATTGACGGACGTAGACGATACTGTGAATTTGTTAACCATTTGACGCCAGAAGATAACTAACCCAACTATTTTAATTTTAAAAACTTAACTTACTTTTAATACTTTATTTACTAATAGTATTGTTTTTAGTATTTTTTTTTTTTACTGTTTATAAAATAAATGTTTTTCTATTATTGGTACCAGTAAATTAACTGGTATAATAAAATTTGGCTGTCATTACTAATAACATAGAATTAATCATTATTGATTTTATAATAAGATTTTTTTTACCAAATTATAGTTTAGCTTGTAACAATTTTATATTTTTAAAATATCATAATGTTGCATTAATTATTTATATTAACTTAAGTATAAATATTATAACAATTATTATTATAATTATATAATTGTAATGCTATGGAATGATTAAAATTACACAATATTAAACATCCAAATCCTAGAAACTGAGGATGTAAATGTGTTTTTTTTTTCAAGATTCAATAAAAATCAATTAATACATTATAGTTTTCATAGTTTCCAATAATTTAATAATTATCATCATCACTAGATGATATATCTGAACAATGGCCTAATTGATCTAACCACCATTCATGTACTTCCTTCACTGCATTTGAAACTTTTGGGATATTAGTTCTCTGATCTCTTGAAGTAGATGATACATTAAGATTGGACATATTTAATGGTTTTATATTCCTGTAGGATGCTTTACGAGTTTTTTCTTTATCTGATGGGTCTGACAAAGTTGGTGTCAAAAATTTACGCCCTGATGCGCTACCAATACTATCAGAACGTGTAATTCCTGTAGTTGACTTTAACTTTGGCCGATTTATATCGGACTGAAATTAAACAATGAAACATTTAATATTTAAAACCTTGCAATGGTTAAACAAATGATAATATACTTTAATATCTTTTTCTTCATTTTCTTTTTCATTGTTAGCAGCTTGTTTTTCTTCAAAATCTCTGAGCATCATTTCATTAGTAGCGCGAAGACCGGCTAATAAACTACCTTGTTGTCTCTGTAAAAAAATTAACCTCAATAACATATACTATTATAAGTAATATTTAAATTTACATTAGCTGCTCTCATTTTTCGTAAACATCCCTCGAGCCAATTACGTATAGTTTGTTTGGCAACTTCTTCTTGAATATTTACTTCAAAATCTTCACGAGCTACTAATTCTTCAAGTTGTAGAGCTTTTGTTATATCAACTGTGCGGTAAGATAACATACTAAATGAAAAACAAAATAATTTTAAAACAAATTTCTATAATATTAAAAAAAATATTTTGAAGTTACTTTAAAACATCATGAAATGTTACTTCTTGACCATTATGAAGTCTTTCCAGCTCATAACACATGTGTTTCAATAACATTTTTCCTTTTTGAGGATCAGTTTCTAATCTACCTTTTAAAAGGCGCAACAAAAATTTTACCTAAAAAAAAAAAAAAATACCAATTAATAAGAAAAATTACTGTGGTTGTAATATTTCACAATTATACTAATAAATAATTATGTACTTTTTGGTTAGAAATGGAAAAAAAAAGAACTTTATCAGCAAATCCCAAAATTATTGTTTGACAACAGTAATGCTAATTAATAAGCTCAACTCTAAAACTTAATAGTAATTTCAAATAAAATTCAGAAATGTAATTTTAATATTAGTATTAACATTTAAAAAATAACAATTAACAAGTTTTAGATTTTATAACAAACATAACATTCATAATAAAACACATTTATTTTTACAAGCTATTAATAATATAATAATTTTGACAATGCATTTAATTTACTTTGAAAAAAATCATTAGACTCACTTTGTAAACTTGAATGACTCCAGCTTGCGTGTCATCAACAATGTTCCACGAGTGTTGGAAATTCCTTATATCAGCATATGAAAGTAAAGCATCTTCTTCGTTGGAATAAAAGAGTGAAAAATTTTCCATAATAATAGCTATAATAAAAATTATTTTTGTTCAATTTTATAAAATTATTCATGAATAAATGTTCATTTTTTGTAATATTGAATAAATTCTTACCAACTAATAAGTTTAGAACAATATATGTGATCATAACATAAAAAGAACAGAAATAAATCAAAGCAGCTGCATAATTTCCACAGTCTGTTTGCCAATAGTTAGCCGCCGGAGTACATTGTGGTGGTAAGATCATACAGTCGTGCATAATTTTATTCCAATCTTCTCCAGTTACAATGCGAAATAGCATAGCTACTCCAGTTACAGGAGAACCAAAATTTGCAAGTCTAAATCATAGATATAAAAGATATAAAAGATATAAGATATAAAAATAATATACTAATTAGTATATAATAAATATTCTTATAATGATGAAATTACCTGCCAATCCCTTCACCATATTTTACAGTACCAAATAAAATAGTTCCAGCCAAAGCATATGAAAACACTAACAAAAACATACCAAATATAATGAAGAAACTTTTACATACAGAAACTCCAACAGTCAACATGAGCATTTTAAGTGTTGCGTGTTTTCCTGTGATTGTAAAAAACCGTAATACGACAACAATATAACCAAATGAGAAAGATAATTCATTCTGAAATAAAATAATGTATTAATTTTTCAATGTTTAAGAATTACAATATAGAAGTATTTACATGCAAGGTAAAATGTGTGAATATCCAAATGACTCCTAAAACTGTGACTAAAAGATCATATCGATTTCGACGTGATTGCCAATAACCACGAGCAGTGAATGCAATCATTTTCATAATAACTTCAGCCACAAATATTAATGTAAGAAATGCACTGACCAATGATAAAGGTTCTGTGTGTTTTTCTTCAGCCCGCCACTATTATAAAATATTAGCTCAATATAGAGAACATTAATAATTAATAATCAATTACCGAAACACATAACAAACAGCTATTAATTAACACAATAACAGCAAAAAATCTTTTAAAATGTATTTTTTGTGTAATATCATAAATAAATGCTCGAAACTTTCTGCGATCTGGTCTGGGAGGTAAATGTAGAGGCTGAGCAATTTTAAGTCTTTTCTTTAAATCACACCTACAAAATTTGATTATAAATTAATTTTGTATTTAAGATGAAGATTATTCATCTGATTTACCATCGTCTTTGATCTACTGTCAGTAATGCAGTTCCTTTATTTTCAGAGTAATTAGCAATTACAACACCAACAAATAAAGTAAGTCCAATCATACATCCCAAGAATATGAATATATGTATGTATATTGCATGAATCTAATCAAAAAAGAAAATATTACTTTATTTTATTTGTATTATTTTAATAAATAATAATAACATGCTATACCACTAAATTAAAAATAAAAGTCTTTAATCATTTCCTAAGCAATTAAATTATAAAAACAAAATAGAAGCTAGAAAGCATAGGATAATAAAATAAATTCTAGCCAACTAGGTACAAATTTTGTTAAATCACAAAGATAACAAACTTTGGTTCCTTTAGACTTTCACAATAATCAATTTTAGAAAAAAAAAAAATGAATTATTGTAATATTAAAAGCTAAAAATCTTAATGAACACTAAAAAAATAAAATAGAGGCTAAATAATATATTTTATATAATTATAGCCATGCTTTTATTCTAAGTTAGGGCTAAATCCCTAAGCTTTTGCAATGAAAAGTTTAAAGACGCATGCCCGATCATGGCGAACAAATTGAACATTACTGGTCCCAAAGCGCTGATCAATATATCACGAACATCCAGCCAGCCTTTGAATGATAACACTTCAAACAGCGTCAGCATTGCATACCCTATATTATCGAAATTGAACCTCCTCGGGTTCGCCCTTCATTGTCAATACACAATTCCTCAATTTGTTTTGTTATTTTGAATTATTTTTTTTTTTTAGTATTTTATTAAATTGTATCCTATGGGTACTATAGAGCAGCGTTTCTCAATCTGGGGAGCACAACTGCCTAATGGGTCGTCAATTAATTATTTAGGGTTACCAAAAGTATAAAATATTGGGTAGCCAAAAATATAAAATATTTTGTATGAATTCTTTATTTAGAAATGAAAAATTGAATATTTATTTAGGTCGAGGCAGAGTAAAAAAGTTGAGAAACACTGCTAATAGATTATACAAATTTATTACTTACCAAACTCTAGGTACTAAAATGGCTGGATAAGTTTCATTATCTCCAGGTTTTATTTTCATTTTTGTAACAAAAACTTTACGCATAAAAACTCCATAACAATCTTCACGTCTTCTTATAGAAGGATCATTGCATCGGGCTAAACGACCACCAAAAATTTGAACACCATAACTGGCAAATACAAACATCAATACAATCAATAGTACAGACACCTAAAAATAATATTCACACACACATAACAATATATTTGTTGTTTGTTTTGAGACTCAAATTGTTTTACAAGTTTTAATAGGTATATACTAAAGTATAATATACTTCAGATTTTACTAACCAATAAAATTTCTTTAAATCCACGACAAAGTTCATCAACTACTTTTCTCATATGAGGAACTAATGAGAATATACGTAATGGACGAACACACCGACAAATCATTAACAAATGAGCTGAAGAATTCGTAGCTACATTAGTTGGCATCCAACATAAAAACACCAAACTTGTCTTAAATTACAAAAAAATAATCATACATAAAATCACTTTTGAAATTTAAAATAAAACTTACTATGTAAACAAATATATCTAATATAGCAGCTACATCTTTCATATATGCTTTGGGAGTAAAAAAAACTCCGTCAGCTAATATTTTTAATGCTAATTCAATACTCATAAAGCATACAAATACATATTCAGCAATTTGTAAAGCTGGAGTTTCCATTACACGATAAAATGGTGTTTCAAACATCATGGATATACAACTTAATGTGGTGACCAATATCATTAACCAATCCAAACACGTTACAAGTCCCAAAAAGTTACTGTAAATAATGCATATCCAATTTAAAATTATATTAAAATAGTAATTATAAATTTGTAAAATTTAATTGTGGTACCTAATTTATTTTGTTTGAATTAAATTATTATTTAGATTGACTAGATGAATGTGTAAGAATGATAGAAAAAAACAATTTTTTTTTTCGTGATTTTATTAAAAATTACAAAGTCTCTCATTGTATCTATTAAGAATCTACAATTAATAATATATAATTAATAATATGTAATATATAATACAAGTAAATAATTTTACAAGAGGACCGAAACCAAAATTCATGAACTTGACAGAGCGCTGTCCAATTACAACCATAAAACATGATGTACAAACACTAGAATGGCCTAGTCATGGACATCATTTTCAATTTCAAATAATTATGACTTTACAACTTGGATATTTTTAGCTAAAAATTAATTTTAATTGAAATGGAATTCTAAATTGATTGTAAAAAAACTTTACACAGAGAAAATCTGAAGTCTGTAACTATTTATAATTATTATCGAATATTTATTTTAAAAGCGGGTTTGAATCTTGAACATATTCATAAATTGTTTGTTGATATTATGTGTTTAATGTTTAAAATTAATTTTTCAAGTAATATCCAAAACACAATTCAGTGTATAATATAATAATATATATTTTATATTTAAAAAGTTAATAACTTACTGAAATCCTTTATATTTAACTTGTCGCTCTTCTCCAGTGAGTGGGTCTCTGAGTTTAAGATCATATCTAGCATATACAATTAATTGACATAGTTTACGAAATTTGGATTCTCTTGGGACAATAAATAAAGGAGTATCAAACAATGGATGATTTTCGCGTAAATCTTCTTCTCTTTGATTACGCCGCATTTCTGCTTGCTGTCTTTTAGCTTGTAATAACTTGATATCAAGATCATGGGGTCTAGCTCTTGTAGCTGTAGCTAAACGATTCATGCCCCCTATATCTCCATTTTCCATGAGATGTTCATATGTTTGTTTAAGCTTCATTGATCCACGACGAATGCTATGCCTCATAGACCTTAATATTAAAATAAGTATAAATTAATTAATAAATTATTTATTAATTAATCAATAATAAATGCACATACTTTTTATGATCTATTCGTGTATGGTGCATATTTACAGTACCTTGAGAATGTAATGCACCTTTATTACCAACATTTGGAGGTAAAAATGTTGAATCTCCCAAAAGTAATCGTTGATTATTAGAATCACTGTAATAAATAATAAATTATTTTATTTATAAATAAAACTAATTTTGCTTTGTTCCTGTTGGTGAATACTATTAGTTCAGTAAAATCACTATAGTTATACTAATATATTCTGAATTACGAACTTGATAATATTAGAGATGATTTCTTTACGAATTTCAGGTGTTACTGTTCGTACTTTTGGTGGATTGGATAATAATTGCATTGGATGTTGTTTACGAGTCATTGAAGGTGGTGTAACTACTTCACTTGTTTTATTTATATTTTCTAAAGATGTTTCTTCATCACTTTTATCTAAAACAAATTGTCTCATAAAACTTTCACGGACCTAAAACAAATAAATTTAAATATCAATTTAATTTAATAAATAGGTAAAATATTATCTTTACCTTAGGCAAATTGAAATCAGATGGTTGTTTATGTATAGATGTCATCTTTGGACGATCTGGAAATTTTTCAAAAATTCTCAGTCTAAATGGTAAAGTTTCTTTTATTTCTGCACTTTGTTCACGGAAACGCAGTTGTTTTAACTTTTTTAATTCTTCATCAAGTTCAAGATTATCCAAAATAACAGCAACAAAAAGACTTAAAACAATCTAATATAAATTGTATAGTTATAAGAATTATTAATACAATAAGATTCATGGTTAAATTTCAAAAATAAATAATTTCTTACAAGTGTGACAAACAAATGATAGAGAATGAAATATACTGCAACTAATGGGACTAAGTATGTTTTACGAGTACGTAACATAGTTTCATCCATAACATCAACCCAGGCTTCTTGAGTAAGAATTTGGAACATGGACATGAATGCCTATCAGTAAACAAAAATTTTAATTTTATTTAAATGAAATAAGAATTATTGGTAATTACTTCTGGAAAGGTGGAAAACTTTGAAAAATCACATAAAAAGCAAAATAATTGCATTGATATTCCTGATGAAATCACTAACAAACACAAAGTAAATATGATAAGGCTACCCAGTTTTTTTCCGGGTCCAAATATTTTATAAACAAAATCTTCTAACATTGGAGAAGCTTTTATCAATCGAACAATTCTTAAAACCTAAACATAATTTATTGAAGTTAATTTTAACATAAATTTACATTTAAGTATAAAACAAACCTGAAAATAGGTTAAGCCCGATAAATAAAATTGTGGAACTATATGCAATGTAGTTCCGACAGCTAGCATTATTTCAAACTTATGGTATGAATGTTTGAAATATTCATTAAATCCAAGCAAAATCATTTTAAATAACGTTTCAAAGTTAAATATTATAGTATACACAACCTGGAATTACAGAACTACTATTAACTAATAACAACAAAATAAATATAACAGAATAATTACTTCTATATAGTAATATTGTTGATAGAATTCTTTTCTTTGTCGCCCATCATGCTTAAAATTCATTGTAGCCATGGCAATACCATTACTAAGTATAATACACATAACAAGTAATCTAAACCAAGCAGAGTTAAGAATTGAATGTCCCAATGGTAATGCTAATGTTCTATGTTTATTTTGTTCTGGGGTAACTAATCTCCAACCACTTTCATCACTGACTAAAATCTAAAAAACATTTGATATTGAAATTATATAAAGATTCTTACCATATTTACACAGACAGTAAATTAATAAATACGAATGCAAAATATGTTTAAAATTGAAATATAAAACTAATACAGAACAATTTGATTAATCTTACTTCAGTAGAAGTTTTATTTCCAACATGTCTTCTACTTCCCCATAATTGTTGAAATTGCACACGCATTTCATTAAACGTTTCTGTTATGACAGCAATAAAAACATTTTTAACTAGCCATGCTAAGAAGAATATTAATGTAGAAAAGTAAAAAATAGCTCTCCAGGCTGGAAGACTATCAAATGTACGAAACATAATGTACACCCAACCTTCTTGTGACGCTGCTTGGTACACAGTAAAAATACTTGTTGCTAGAATAGAAAATATTTCAAATAAAACATCAAAAGTATATACACAATGATATAATGTTATACCAAATTCATCAAATCCACTGAAGCCAGTTATGTACCTTGATAATTCTAATTTCATACATTTCATACCTTCTGGACACTGATATCCAGCGTCCGGTTCGGTAGAACAAAATGAATCAGGTATGGCCAAATTATTAAGGGTTATTTTTCTGCTGAATCATTTATTAATTAAATAACTATTATTATAAGAAACTCATTTACCATTTACTTAGCATCTGTTGTATTAAGAACACAGTGATTTTTCATTTCACCAAACAATTGAACACCAAGTACACCATATAAAGACATAAAAAATAGGAAGAACAGTGTTACGTTGTAGATTTGTTGGCTCGATCGCCTAATAAAAAATAATAAATGATTAAAAATTTAAATTTAAAACAATTTTATATTTAAGTTCCATTACTTAAAAATTTGATTAATTCTAGACTTTGGCATAGAAAATTTTAGGAAGACACGAATAAATCGGATCAAAATAAAAGGCCTTGGTGCCCTCAATATTGATAAGTATCTAAATTGAGGTAAAATATTGACAACTTCAAAAATCTGTAATATTACAGACAACCAAAGGAACACTACCATTGTGCCATCAAATTGACACCAGTGATCTTTCAAATATGGTGATTCTCCCTAAGTAACAATAATAACATAATTTATAACCATGATAAAATTATACAATTTGTATAATGATTGGTATGAATGAAAATAAAAATACTTTTAAAATCCCACGACTGTGCATCTTAGCAATCATTTCAGCAGTGTACAAACAAGTAACGAGTAAATCACACACAAAAGTTGAAAGCTGTAAAAATGGAAAAGCCTCAAAAGTTTTTGGCGTGTTGAGACTGACACAGAGTAAACTCAACAGGGCACAAAAACGCATCAACCGTCGGACCCATAGCTTGAAAAAAATGCACACAATTTGATTAAATACACGTTCATTTTGTAACATTATTTTGTGTTTTGCAAATTTACCTTGTTTACCCAATCGATTTCGGCATTCTCGTTCAGAGATTCCTCCTGAACATAATCAGGAGCCATTATATCTATACGGATGCTTTGTTTACGGCCCAACATGCCGTGATATGACTTACATTTGTAATCCTTACATTTTCGCTTTTGGTTCGAGTGCCATTTTATATATATTAAAACAATAAAATGAAATTTCGTTATCATTAGTTCAAATCTTAAATCAATAGATAGGTTTTTATTATTATGCGATAACAGAAATGTGTATATTGCCGGGATCATGGAAGGAAAACCATCATTTATTTTAAATTAAATATAGGTACTTTTAAGTTGTAATTGTTGTAGTAAAATAATAATCATTTTTCTGAAAACTAACAGAAATTCGCACAGTGGACACAAAAATGGGAAATTATAATGGGCGGCGGAAAATAATTAAGAAAAACGACTTTTTACCGAACGCGAAATTGTTCACCAAGGAGTAAAAACGGCAACACAGCGAACTTTCCACCTGACGACAGTCGACCTCAAGCTGCGCCAATCGTGAATCGACGTTGTCGGCTTTTCGTCACTGTTCACTACTGCTGAACAGTATAGAGTGGCGGCGGGCGACTAATACGGACGTTTTTTTCAAAAAAAAAAAAAAAAACTAATCCATTTTTCGTTACACTCAGAATCTAAAATTCGTCTCACGTTGTCGTCTGCCCATCTTGCCGGTCTCGTGTCGCGTCAATAAATTTTCATTATTTTTTTTACTGAACTGCCTTTTTTTTTTTTCTGTTCTCTTTTATAATAAATAATAATTATAATAATAATACCTACTTAAAATCCGTCTGTCGTACTGTTTTTTTTTTTTCCCCCAGTAGACCGACTTACGCATTATCCACCCGACGTTGCAGCTGTCAAACCGAAATTATGTGGAATGACAACAATAATTATTATCACGGTTGCAATAGAAACGTCTGTTCGTTTTTCAAAAGGAGGCATGTGTACAGGGATTTCCAGTCCAAAATGAAGTCCGTCGATTACGGCGTACTCTTACCCTTAATGCAGGTTAGTGGCTACATTTCCAAAATTATTAATTAATAACGATTAAAAAAAATGTTGCGCGTCCACTCGTCCTGTCGTTTCGAGAAAAATATTGTTCCAAAAAAAAAAAAAAACTAATCCATTTTTCGTTACACTCAGAATCTAAAATTCGTCGGGTATTGTAGCTGATAATTGGCCCGGCCGCAAGTATAATAATAGTATTAATAAATATTATGACCAAGTTTGGACAAACCGGGGGCCCGCAGACCGGTTACGGTGTACGTGCGGCGACCGGTTTGTGCGTGGGGAGGCTTGCGAACGGCGACCGATTTTCGCTTTCTTTCCGGTCGGCGTTCCATTGCTATTTTCTACGACAGTTTACTGCGAATCGCGATCGTCGCTATTTTCGTTACAATATCGCCGGGTTTTCACGTACGCTTTTATAGAGCCTCTCGGTAATTTATTTATCGTTATACACCTGCTGTTATATTAATACTATTGTATTCAGATATTCCTTATTATAGACCAGCGCCAACAAAATATCCTTACCGAATTTTCGTAATAATAATATTGAAATGGAACCGTTATTAAGTTTACGGATGATTTTTAAGACGTACAATAATATTGTTTTCATTGTTATTGCCGTTCAAATGGTGTAGATAAAATGTCAGCATCTAATTATTATTATTATAATATTCAAAATTGAAATTATTATTGCCATTACAGTATTTAAAAAAATATCACTGATAACGAATTGATATGATGTATCTGATGTGATAAGAACCTTTTAGTACGCTATCATAGTATGATAATTTTTTTTTATTATAATTATCATTATTATGGTCGTAGACTTATTAACTGTATGACCACTAAAATACGTTACGTCTAATTTCCATACAAACGAGTAATCCTTAATGTAGGTACCTAATCTTTATGCATCGATGTCAGCATACAATATATGATTTTAATAGAGGTTGTAATTATGTTCGTTTCCATAGTCTTGTTAAACGAAAGAAGTTATTTATAAATAGGTCAAATTCTTTTCTGTCTACTTCCATTAAAATTTAAATGTGAATTCAACACATCAGTCGTTAATACTATCTTTGCTAAATTATTCTTACTTCGTGAAACTGTTCTACGTGTAAGTTACAACGAACACATCCTAAGGCCAAAAACAGTATTACACCGATTTGCATAACAATAACTTTACTAATCGATAATATAAACTTTTTACTTAAAAAAAAAAAAAAAATGAAACACATGTTCACTAATAATTTTTCTAAAAAAATGTATTCAAAATTTGATGGGGTGATATACTTTGTGAAAAAGCGAATACCTAATATATTGCATTTTCATTCTGTAGGCACATTGCTCATAACCAGAACTCGGAACTTTTAGCTCCTAATATTCGCAAAAAGCTCCCAAAAAAACACTTGAACATTATTCAAATATCCCGAAATTTTATTTTGTAACAACAAAAATGATTAACACAAAATCTACGTAAAATTGTATTTAATTAAATTAGGTAATTTATAGCATGTTGTGTAGTTACTTTTGTAGTGATGGAAAAGGATGGATTTTGAACCATTGTCATTTTTGTTTTTTTAAATATTTTTTTTAGAATGCTTCAGGGCTTTTTTTTGCAATTTTTAATTGCTTTTTGTGGATTTTTGTGTAATTTTACTTTAGTCTATAATAAAATTTAATGACACCGAAGCTGTAATGGGGTAGAGGATGTAGTTCTCCCCTTCTCTGTCCTAAGCATAGGAGGATTTTCGCCCCCGCCTCAATAAAATATAGATAAAATTTCACGAATAAAAATATTTAATATTAAAATTTCAAATAAATACTTTTTCATTATTTTACAACACAACTGATATTGTGGTTTCAAAAAACCATTGACAATTGATTATAATTTATAATTCTGTGATATTATCACCATTCACTACACCAATTACGTGTAATAATCAGTGGTAAATTGGCAACAATATTTATATAATATAAAATATTTTCAGAAATTTTATTTATTTTTATTTTTACTTTTAATCTTATACCTAAGAATGTGCTTAACTTAAACAGCTTAATCCAGTGTTTAAAATGAACAATAGTGTATTTCTGGTTCACATTTTCACAAAGAAAAAAATTTATCATTGACGTGCAGAAATCATATAAATATATTATCCCTTTTTATTATATAAGTACCTATTTAAAAACAATTATACCAATGATGGATATAGGATTTTTTCTGGGGGGAGGGCCAAAATTGTTCAGATTTATTTTGAACTATGAACACTAAATATAAAATATAGATAAGATTACAATTAAGTATCAACATTATCCACTATCGTTATAATTGGTCTAATCAAAATTTGAACGACTATTTATAGTCATTATAGTCACTCATATTATTACAACCACAAATATAATAAATCACTAATGGGGGGGGGGGGCCCGGGCCTTCTCGGTACCACCCCTTAAATCCGCCACTGAATTATATTATATAATTAGGTCATTTTGAACACTGGCGGAAGTGTGAAAAATAAAATTAACACAAATTGTGAAGGTGAAGATTGGAAGCCTTTCCCCTACTCGTGTAACTATGGATCATAGTATGATTTATATTTTGCCTTTCCCTCATATGAAAAATAGTTTCTGCGCCTATGATGAAATGTAATGGTTATGAGTATTGGCTAGTGATGGGTTAACCTAGTGCGAATCTAAAGACCATTAAAGGAGAGGCTAACTGATATCATAACTGCTTATAAGACCGTAATTTAAAACATTTCGGGGTGGAGGGGGGGCATTGGTTCCAAAATGTGTATTTATAGGCTATAATGTGTTTTTTTATACGCTTTTAAAAGTTCAGATTTTTGAAGAAATCCGTAAAAATTACTGAATGCATTTCAAAACATGATTAACTTACCTTCGCTCGCCAATGGTTATCATTGCATACATGTATAAATTAAATAACTTTATGTACCCTTCTTACTTTATTTCCCACCTACAGGCTACAACAGTGGTACCTACACTTTACACCCATTGTTAAGTTTTAGTTATTTTACAAAAGTATTTTTGTGAAACTTCTTTTGTTATAAAATTTATAATCTGAAGCAGAATTTATAATTTTTTGGAAATAATCCTATTTTTAAATGTTCGAAATTTAAACACTCTTAATGAAGAAAGATGGTTAAATGATAATTTTTGCGTAATTTTATTATTACGATTAATAATAATAATAATAAATAATATTTTGCATTCCAAAATTGCGTGGTTATAATATTACGTAAACGTTTTCAGGAAAATATTCTGTTAAAGATTATGCGTTATTGAAAAAAAAAGTTTTTATGTTATGTTTAAAAAATTGTCATATCTATTAAAAAAAAAAAATTGATTAAAAAATTAAGTATAATACCTAAACCTAAGTATATACCTAACCTAACCCTTAAAATTAAGGTAAGTAATGCATTAAATCGACGGGTATCAACACCTGTAGGTATTAATTTAATGGTAATCTCCTTGAGTATTAACATTTAACCGCTAGGATTTATTTTTTATTGATTTACAATTTATATTTTGTTCCACTGTTATTATGATATTATGCTATCAAATCACGAAAAAAATATGCTGATTTATATATCGTGTTCTAAATATAATTGAAAGCATTATAGTAGGTAAGCTTTATAATAATGATTTCCATATTAATAATATTAATAACTTTATCATTTATAATATTTGAGTATCTATTTTTAAAATTGGGTTTTTTTATTTTGTTTTACTGACAACAAATTATTAGAAGTTTAAAACATAAATACTTAGTTAAAATAAAAAATAAAATGTATATAGTTGTGGGTAAAGATCTGGAGAAAGAGGTTCTTTACTAAATGTATCTATATTATATTATTCTATAAATTCATCTCAATGTTGGAAAGTGCAATGTTAGCAATTCATTTCCCACGAATTTAATATTATTTAAAATCATTTTATTTGGGTAAGTTATACGTATGCTTAGGTATGGAACATGACTAGTCTGTCTATAATAAAAAATGGCGAATTATTGAGGGACAACTGCGTTATTACAATGATATTATGTATTGTATAATGTTATTAGTTTGGACACTATATTTCATAATAATGTTTTATTTCATCTAACTGCTAAATATGTCTTCTATAATATTGTTGACCTCTAATTTAACATAGGTACTTTTATCAGCTACCTATTGAGTTATGGCTACTTCACATTTAAATTTACGTTACGCACTCTATATTATTATTATAGGAACCATTTAAATGATCATGAAATTAATATTATTTTATTATCCCGATTGGTATATCACCTTATTATAGTTTTGTTTGTAGTTTTTATTCTTTCATTTCGAACAAATACGAGTGGGTTATTAACCGAGTTGTTAACTAATATTATGATCACATTCTTTAAAGTTCGGGATAATGGCTCATCTGTGTTAATTTTGCGGTCGCAGTTTAAGTTCGCTTATTTTCAGGGGGGGGGGGTGCCTTAAATCGAATTTTATTGAAACGTCAAAAAATAACTTGTTTATTTTTTAAATTTAAATATTATTTACATTTTAATGTTCGTAAAAAATAAAAAATATAATATTATTAGTTATTTTTTTGAATAAATTATAATAAATTATGATTTTTCAACTTAACCTTAAAATTTGATCACCAGTTTATATCATTTATTTTATTGTTGTATACAATTGTTTTTTTTTTTGACAAAGTTTTAAATAAAAATAATGAAAACTCGAATTGTATAAAGTTATGTCGTGGTGTTTTTAAAATAGGTACTATTAATATAACATATTAAACTGTCTCTCTAAGCGATAGGGTTTGATAGCTCAGAGTTCCGACCTTATCTTCTGAGACCGTGGTTATAATAATACATTCAATATATACAATATCTTATCAATAAAAAAAATATTATTTATAGAATATAATCGTAGACTTTTACATCCAGACGGAACGTACAGCATGAAAACGCGTGCCGGTTGGTGAAGCTCATCCTGAGGACTGAAAATCGTTCTAACAATGAACAATAGTAACAATAATACATAATTTTATCGTCTATAAAGACTAAACGTTCTAGTTTAGTCGTAGTCTTTATGTTATCATTATTCATAATTCATAATTCATTACAGAAATACCGAATAATACAACGGGATAATAAACAGAGTGTTTTAATTGATTGTCCTCGGAGTTCAATGTTGTTCTCCCTCACACCTCGGTATATTTGTCTTGATCCGTTCGGACCGACTATGCGATCCACTGGATAAATGTTCCGTCTAGATGTATAGAATATAGAGAAATAAAATTTATCAAACTAGATTACATAATAATAATTTTCAAATTTCCCAAATTTTGAATACCTATCTAATAATATTATATTATAATTTATGGAGTTGATTTATCACGAGATATCTGACCAGCATTATATTTTATATTTTTCGAGAAAGTACCTAATTATTTTGAGTAAAAAAAACAAATCCAATTAATTCCTATCATATTTTTCATACTATCGAATTTCTAATATCAACCTTATATCAGCTAATCGTTAACCTTAACCAGGAAACATTAATTAGCTTATATTGGTAGTTGGTTACCGATCAACATATTATTTTAAAAATGAAGATAATAAAACTATAAAATACATTTTACCTTTTGAACTTTTTTTTTTCTTTTGAATAATTATTAAAAAAATAATTTTTTCCGAGTTTAATTTTGTAACAATAATAAATAAAGGTAAACTATTGCCTTAATATAGACACAATAATAATTAGATCTATATAGATTGGTAACACGATTCGGGTATACATTATAAATAATGCTTACAAGAGTTCAATATCATACAAATATAAATTGTAGAATTTATTTAAAAAATAAAAACAAAAAAATGTGTTTAAACGATTCGATAAATAGCCAAATACGTTAATATACCTATTTAAGTACACTTAAACCTGCCATACTTATTAATATATTATTATTATTATTATTATTACCTTGTAGTGTGCTCGTTGTACACTTGATTTCGTTCACGAGACTTTCCTCATGTAAGGTAAAAATCGCGTAACATATTTGTATTGTTTTCGGTAGATCTGTTTTTGCATCCAATGACGCGGTAAGGTCATTCCTTCGAAAATTCACCTGTATATTCGCGGGGCCTCGAATGTAATAATCGAATGCATGCGAAATAAACGAGACAGGTAAATACAATCTCTCTACACACACACACACACACACACATACACATACTGTTGGTTTGTTACATGCACCTATAATAATACATTTAAATTTTAAATGTCTATTTTTGGCACCGATAAATAATAATTGTTGGTTGATATTATAATATTTATTACACATTTACATTATATTATCCAAAATAGTTATCTTGGATGATATATTAACCGCGAGTATTAATACCTACTGAAAACTCCTGATAATAATACAAAATATCCAACCGCAAACGCTGAACTAGTTAATATGTATTGAAAAAAAAAAATATATATGTATAAATATAATTAATTAAAAAATCGTCAAAATATTCTGAAATCGGTTTTGCCTCGTTTCAAAAGTGCCAATATGTGATGAAAATTGCAGATCTCTACGATTACTGAATTATTTACAGCAAAATCAAGTACAATAGAAGAACCCGTTATTGCATACATTTGTCCGTTATTACAATCAATTTTTTTTTTCTGAGTAAAAATCAAAAAATTGGACTTCTCAATGCATCAACTGGAAAACATTTTCTAACTTTTTGCAAAGCTTCAGGTTTCTACGATTATTTTTCACTGATAACAAAAAAAAAAGAGCTGTTACTGCTGACGGGTGTACTCCTGTTGTACGTGGGAAGTTGGGAAGATAAAATGTATTGTTATTTAATTTTAATTTGTATGTAACGAAAAACTGTCTTAAGTTCGATTAAACACGTTTTGAAATATCGTGATTTTTATGATTTTCATTAAAGTTTGAACTTGAAACGTTTAAACTTATAAGTGGAATGTTGGAAACATTATTATTAGTTAAAATTCTGAATGATCGATAAGTCATTGCAACGAAATACGATTCAGGGTGGTTAAACATTTTTGTGATAAATTCAAATTAAAAATAGCATTCATTTTTATATAATTACTAAATTGTGTTTGAATGTTGGTGTTCAGATAAATTAGATTTTTTCTAATTTTTAAGAAAATGAATTGGTAAATAAAAAAAATGATCTCCAGAATGTATCAATATTATAATATACTATTTGATTTCGGAAAAGATGTTACACCTGTAAACCGGAGCTATATTTCTGGTAGGAAAGTTGTTAACAGACAGAAAAACAAATTTTAAAAAACACATCATAGTAAAACCAATACATTTCTCGTTGGGCTCAGAATCTAAAATACTTTTTATTGGATTTATAATTACGGGCAGTAATATTATTATACGGTCGTGAGATGTTAACTCAATTCGTTCCGTATCGTTTTTTTTTCTTTTAAACAGCCTATGGTTTTAAATTTTCTATAATCGAGTTAAAAAAAATCAAAGTATAATATACAAGTACTTATTAGGTATTATCTATTTCGTTTTACGATTTAAAAGACTGTTGCAGTAACTCGTAACGCCATCCACCGGAAAGAAAACGCGTCATCATCTCCTTCCGGTTCTGTGTGTGTAAACGTTTCACACTCATTACGATTCCTAACTTATAACATTATAATATATTATGCGTTACCGACAAAACTACACTGGAAAACAATATTGTAATGATAGCGAACGGTTTATAAAATGTTTAAATACAATACGAGTGTCATATCCGACGACGACGCCCACACGCGATTTTTGATAACTATACCTACTTCTTATTCGAGATAACAATGGACATAATGGTTTTCAATTCAATAAAATGTATGTAACGTTTTGTTATCTCGCGGTTTTTTTAAAATATATATATGTGAAATATTTTGGAATTCATTAACGCATCTAAAATTACAAGCCTCTGTCCTTATTAATTTATCGTATATTATAGGTACCGTAGATATTATTATATAGGTTTATGTACCATATAGGTTTCATCATAACTTCGTAATAATATTATGTATGTACGTATGTATGTATGTATGTATGTATGTAGGTAGGTAGGTAGGTTTGGTTGACGGTAGGTGTAATTTGAAGCATGTCTCAAAAAAAAGGTGTTGCTAATCGTAGTGTATACAGTATATACATAGGTTTTTCGATAGATTTTTTCCTTAAATTTCAAATTTACACCCAATATATAATATATAAAATGAAATATTTCGTGTATTTTTTTTTTTAGAATTTTTAGAATACCTGCCTGCCTGCGTATTATCCTTATGCAATATTCAATATTCACAGGAGACAGTCGCAACACAATAAAAACCTTTACCACCAATTACATCAATTTTGAGCCGCATAGTTAGCGTGCATTTAACCGCCGATTATACACGGGTACTGTTCACAGGTATTTCGAGGCCGTGGCCATTCTCTCTTTCCGACTAACCCACTACCCTGACATTGGTTCTTTACTATTATTATCATGTTATATACCTATATAGGTAAAATACGTGTAATATAGATACCATTTTTTTTTCGATAATCTTCGATTGTTACAAAAAAATATATATATATATATTTTAATGTAAACGATAAGTAATAATAATTAAATTACATAAAATATATTATAGATATTATGTATATAAGTCTATATATTATAGGTTACAGACCAGAGGTTAGACAAAATAATATAAAATAAATGTGATTTTTAACGCGTTGTTTTTATCGGGTGTATGTACTATTTTTAAGTAGGGAGAGATCGGAGATACAGATTAATAAAAATCGTTGGCATATTAACTCTAACGTATTTATATTGTGTAATAATAATGCACGTTCTCCTGCAGAAGACCTTGGTGGACACACTCTCCCCCACAATTAATCGACGGAGGAGAACCACCTTAAATGTTACCGTTGCGACGATACGATACCGAACAGTTCTTTAAATGACCTAGCGCGTGAGTCACTTGTTGTTGACAATAGCCAAGTAACTTTTGATGAATCTACAATAATAATATTACTAACTATATATATATATATATATATATATTTAAAAACTGATTTAATTATTCTGTATATATATTGAAACGTAACTATCTAATACACCTGTAGATATCTATTTGTTTTTAAATTCAAAGACGAGGCTGATGTATTTTTAAAAAAATTGTCCAGGTTATATCAGTTACTTTAACTATAATACACAGTAATATCATTCGATATATAATAAATATTCGATATATCGAGGTCGGATTCTCATAAAAATATTATATTATCGGGATCTATAATTTAAAGACTGTCTGTATACATTTGAAACATATGAATAATAAATTATATTTTAAATTTAAAACATAATATAAATATATCGGTTTATATTACAAAAACCTACATGTTTTAATTTACCGCAGTAAATTTTACTATAGGTGCTCTATATTATTTATCTATTTAATTATACAATTGACAATTATTTCGACCATTAGATATTTAAGCTTTTAAAATCCATTTTTATTCGTCTAACTCTTTATTTTGAGTTATTCGAGTATTCGACCCATAATGTGATTCCACGTTTTGATTTTTGAAAACTATATAAATTTACTTAACCCATGTGTTAGTTAGGCAATGGCGTATTTAATAGGGGAAATAATATCTGTTGACATTTTTTTGTATTTATATTGTTTATATGCTTATCTATTTTCTACTTTAAATTTCTATACTTTTTTGTCAGAAAAATCCGAAATATGTTATTAGCTCCTATAGTACGTATATCTAAAAATTTGAATTTATAAATGTTCTTGTTTAAATTGAAACTTATCTGCACTACTATAATATGAAGGAGGTTAGATTAATATCTAAATGGTATATAGGCTAATGATAATGAAGGTAGTTACTAATATCTAATTATTTGATTTGAATGATAATTTTTAGGCAATTGAATTATAAATCATTTACAAAATATACACATTCAAAATTAGTCTTTTTTTTATAGCCTAGGTTAGGTACACATTATAAAATATGACACAATTTCCAAATTCAATATCTCCGTCCTTGGCGAAATTCTAATACGACATTGCCCACTGATTATAGTATAGATGTAGTAGAACGTTAGTTTTTTAACTACGTTTTTTTATACTCAACTTTAAATATAGGTGTTTCATTTTGTAGATTATCCTACACGTATTAAAATAATTTAGCTGTTGTAAATCTTATTCCAGTATAGATATCTTGTCAACTAAAACTGCGCTATAAAAAAATATATATATACATTATACATATCTATATGAGTAGTTACTATTACTTATAGCTACGTTTTAATATCTATTTTAAAACGTGTCCCGCTCCGTAGACTATGTGCTAATCTATTTTCGAGGCATTACAACTAAAATGTTACGAATACTTTCATCTGTTAACTCATTCCATCCTATGACTCGTGCAGAACGTGTCTAGTACGTACAAATTAGGTCTTTGTATAAGAACAGAGATTTTGAAGAAAATTTCTTATTACAATTTACAAAGTACGTAAATAGAACCAAGTATAAAGTTCATTGGTATTTAAATTTAATATTAAACTGTATAAGTAATATCAACTTTTAACACGATTTATTATTATAGCAGGATTTAAAACTTTACGAATGTGCAAAAGTTGTTTAAAAATATAAAACTGCTGTGAATTTTGAAAATTGTACTCATTTTCATTTCTTATCTTGCCACGGGATATTTAGCGGGTCTAGAAGTACTAGACTACAGGGTACCTAGTTTAGAATGAAGTTTTGTGATGATGTTTACGTTAAAATTGCGTTTAGTTTTTGGATAGTTTATGGGTTTAGTTTTTTTTGAACTTAAAACGATTATGTAGTTGATGATTTTTGCTACACTTTTAAAAATGTTATGTTTTTTGAAAATACGTCTTCTGAGTATAATGGATGATTTTTTTCTGGAGATTTTGTATACCTATATACCCACCACCTTTACTGTAATGGGCAGATTAATTTATAAAAAAACCTAATTCTTAACTTTTGGCTATATAGTAATACTTGGAATCTTTCCAAAACACCGAAAAAAATTGAAAGTTATATGAAATATAAAACCATCTAATAGTTATAACACAAATTAGGTTTTTTAGTTACTTCTTAAATTTCCCGAAACTATATGCGAGTACTACTGAGAAACATAAAATGTATGCAATAAGTACCTATACCACCTGTGTTTGATTTTTATTAGATATTAAGCGAAGCGAAAAATGTATTGGTTTTTACTATAGCGTGTGGGTTTTTTTAGTTTGTTAACAACTTTTCTACTAAATATCTTGTTCCAATCAAATATCGACAAAATATCCTTTATGTATCATTTTGGATTTAGTTGGTGAGTTAAGAAAAAACGTATAGAAAAACTGAACAAATTTACGGCTGTAAAAGTTAATTATTTAAAAATTTTTTTTTAATTAGGTTAAAAATAGCCGTAGAGACCTGAAATTTGCACAGAATACTTAGATTAGATTAGATGTGGTAGAATTTTCAAAATATTATATTTTTGAGCCAGTTATTGGAAATTTGATATTTTTGAGTGTTTTTAGTTTTTATTTTGTTTTATTTGGATACAATTGTTTGGCCAAATGGAAACAGTGCGTTGTACACAGATATATAAATTAAATAGGTAATCGTATGTATTCTACATTCTTAGATTCCTACCTTCCAAAATGTCCTGTTATATGAAAGTGGAAAACCAATCAGCAGTATAAACTCTTTTTTATAGTATATTCAATGAGTTTTTTCCCCGTCAAATGCGAATATTTTTAATCTATTTCATATACTTATAGTTACGTATTCGCATTGATATTTGCGTTTTCAATAATATATTAGGTACTTGAAAATGCAAAATCTATCGCAGTAGTAAACATCAAAATAATACATCTCAATTAAATTGTGAGTATATATTATTTTATGTTGATAAATCATTATTACTTCGTGTTATGCGATTTTTATTAACTAGATTCGTCCAATGCGCCGAGACTTTATTAATGTAAATTGAATTTAACTTGTGCACCGGTGTGGTGTAGACCAGTGAACTCTATACTCATAACGCGTATATTCTATAATGTTTGTGTATTGAAAATATAGGAGGCTCCTTTTTTAATTCCAATAGTGATTTACTCCATGAAAAACATAAAGAATAACAATAATATTCTGTGTCGGTAGGATAATAGTATAGATAGATATTGATAAATAAATAAAAATCTCAAATAAATAGTAAATTATAAAATAGTTAAGTATCATCAATTTTTAAATTATTTTTGGGTTTAAATTATATTATTAAAATACATACATTTTTTTTTGTATTTGAAAATTGTTACTTGTAAAATAAATTACTCGTTTAGAATATTAGCCTGTATTAAATAATTAATCTTATTTAGGTACATAAGAGATTGAATGCATTATGTTATTAAGTGTCTTTTTAGATAGGTATCATATAGAGTACCTATGTTATTCCTACAATACTCGTTACAATACGCAAATTATTATCATGAAATATAACTAGGAATGAGCTAATACATAGACCGATCCTCGATATCGGTGGTATGACGATCGATATTTTCGGTAAAAAGTTTTATTATGTCTTTAGATTGTGAAAAAAGTAACAATAAATCGGTTTTTCAACAAATGTATCGGTTGATTTCTACATTTTCTCATGACTTTCGATTTCGGATATCGGGTACCGGTTTTATATTGGTAGCATATATCGGAATATCAGATATTGGTAAAATGTGGTATCGGCCCATTCCTAAATATAATAAATCCCGGTAAATTTCTTCACGAATACGTACGATTAGTATGACATCATATTATTATCTGATCAAAATCCTTATTAAGTACAAATGGATCCAAACAAATAAAAATGTACATACAAATGCAATGCAGAGTAACTTTAAAATTGTTTTATTTTACATTTTAAGTATATTATATACTTATTTTATTCCAAAAAATCTCATTTGAGTATCTTTTATTTAATAATAGCCAAATCTTAGTATGTACATACTCGTACTTTAATGTAATATGAGCGTTCAAACAATCAAATTATTACTGATAACAGTCTAATAAGAAGTGTATTTCATAAGTACTAATCGAGGGTATTATTACTACATGAACGGGATCTAAATGGCGTTGTCCTATAAGGAGTCAAGTTTTGCGACCCTATTATGCGCGTTCCATGTACATATAGTTCAGTGGATATTGATGGAATGAGCAGTGACTATACTTACAGTTTGAATCATTTTTAAACATGTAGGCCATATTTAGTATTTACATACATAGGCTATATTTAAACACAAGATTTATAAAGTTGTTTTTTATATACCGAATTTGTAAGTATTTACAGAATGATTCACTAAGCGTGCTCATCCCATATTTTTGGTTGAATTTTGTTAATATTAAAATTCTGATTTTTGGAGGTTTTACGTGTAGTTAAGCCGATATTTTCGAATATTTTGATTTTTCACAACATCCTGTGGCGATACCAGCTTAAGTTTTTCAAATGAGAACCTTTATTAAAAATTCCATAAATACATGGAATATTACATAAAATACATTTTGGTGTCAACATTTTTAATTTCCGTTAATCCGTGAACGAGATATTCCACTTGTGAATCACTCTGTATATATTTTATGTATGGATTCAATAAAGAAAAGACATCCTAAGATAAAGGGGATGGGTGCAGCCACTGTTATATAAGTAATTTAATGTACCAGGTGATTTAAGGTAGGTACACTCATTATCTCGGAAAGTATTAACTTTTTCCGGAATTTGTTTTCTAGAAAATTTAAAAAACAATTTTATATTTGTGTTATTTTTTGTCATCCTTATTTTTGGAGGTAAAACAACTATCTACTTTTGATTTTCAAATGGCAACCTATGTTAAAAAGTCCACGAATAGATTAGGTATTAGTTAAAATAAATTTTAGTGTTGACATTTTTTATTTCCGCTAATCCGTTGATGAGATACTCCGCTTTAAGTTTGGGTTGGAGGAGAGTAGTAGAGTATCATTAGTGTATGGTGTTACGGCGTGCGGCGTGTTAACGATGCACCAATACTTTCTTATATCTCTAAAATCGTCAAAATATTTTGATAATTGTACACGTCTAGAAAATGCTAATATATTCTGTGCAAATTTCAGTTCTTTGCAATTAGTTTAAAGTTTAAATTTAGTTAAAACAAAAATCAAAATGGAAAATAATGAAGCCGTTATTTCCGTAAACATTCCCGTTTTTCTAATTATTAGGAAAATTAAAAGACAAACTAAAAAATGGATCCAAAATGCTTCATATAAGCTCCTTTGTCATATTTTGATTGGAGAAAAATTTCTGGCGGAGAAATTTCTGGCGTTGTTTACGGACAGAAAGTTAAAAATTTCTTAGGTCTGTGAGTTACAAATTTGAATTATTCTGTCTCTTCTCTTTCTCTGAACACTATAGGTAGTTTGTAATATATTTAATCAGTGGCGTTCCTTATTTCCTTAAAAAACATAAATTGACATTTATTGCTGATATTGGCTTTATAAATTGGCATTTTCAGGTATTTTTTAACGTGCGAGGGTTTTTGACAGCGTTATTTTAAGTTTTATTATTTTTCTGATAATAATACATTGTAGTTGTTATTTATTCAAAAAATTAACCTCTATTATTGCAGTAAAATTCTTTACACCGTTAAAAAAAATTGTATTCTCGAAATAGCCGGTCGTATAAATATTATAATATGTATATTTTTTCTATACGTATATTATTTTAATATGAAAAATATTCATCTTAAAAACTGTCACTTTTAAACGAAATAATAAGTTCGAAAACGTGCTGTTATAAAGGGACAACAAATCTTTTATTGGTATTGAAAAACAGCAGACGCTGCAAATGCGCTTTTAAGGAATTTCGGAATGTAGCTACCGACCCGAATGTCTGGGTTGCCTATGACGTCGTTTACACCGTTCGTGAATGACGTCATACCGCTCGACGCCCACACTACCGACGTTGGCGTGGGTCTATTCAAAATCGTAATATTATGAATTGAAAAAAAAGAACAAAAACACTAACGGCCATCCCTATTTCCCCTTTGTCGAACGAACGTATTTCGGTCGTTTACGTTAAATACCGGGAAAATAATATCAATATTCGCAACAATATTTCGAAGAGAATATTGATTAAATTTTCATTATAACACTTCGCGATTCTTGAGCTGTTATAGTAACCTAGCTAGGATTTTTAATAGAATGGTTGCTATATACTTCTAATCTTTGATTTAATTCTTGAATCGTTAGTGTCTCTCCTAAAAAAATGCATACAATTGTTGTTTTCTTCAATGTAATAATTTGAAGAAAAATCCATGTAAAATCTTTATAATGAAAATATGAGAATATATTCTGGCTCGAAACCATGCCTCTACTAGAAAAACTTTACACTTTCGTAAAACCGTTCGATTTCGATGATTAATTTTTTGTTGGAAAAAAGAAGCCTTTCTATGTATTTCTTTGAATTCCGTTTTAAATATTTTCCTCTCAAACTTTAAATTACTTACGTCTTTAAAATCGATTAGTTTTTCACATTTTTACACATTTGAAACTAACTGAAAAATCTGAGTTCATTATTGCGGTCTAGAAAATTGTTTTTACCAATCAACAAAAAAAAAGGATTTTGTTTAATCTAAAAGTTACCTATCAAATAAGAATTACGAAAAAGACTTGCAAAGTTAAAATGTCAATAAATAAGTAGCTCAAAAATGGCTTAAATGTCTAGAAAAAACAAGTATAAAATTTCTGTCAAAATTATAGTTTACGAATATTTTTAATCGAGTTACAATAAAAAAAAAAACAAAATTGAAAATCATTATTTCCCGTTCTTTCGACGTTTTCTTTCGGTTTTACTCAATTATTGAAAAAACGATTAGGAAAATCAAAAGATGAACTTCATACTCATCAAAAAAGATTTTGTTGTTTTTTTTATTTGAGCAATATTTCTGGTAAAAAACATAGTTTGCAAAAATTAAAAACAATGAAATCGATAACGTATTGCATTGTAAATAATTGCCGTTTTACCTATAATTTCATTTCTGGTTTTTTCCCATTTATAAAAACCACTAGGAAAACTAACCAATGATTTTCTTAATGCACCAGCCATAGATAAAATGTCTTTTCAAAAAAGGTGGTACAGTTGATAAATCGGAGAATTTCGATGCTCGAATTATTTTAATTGTACATAAATATAATAATTAATTAATTAAAATTAATAATAATAATAAATTAATTCAATTTTGACGAAATAATATTTCAGCAATATTTGCAGAATATATAGCTTATCCATCCGAAATGACTATTCCGTGGGTTTTGATAATAATGTTAAATATGTACCACGTACAAAATATGTTTGATTAAATAAATTAGGCATCTTTTTCCTCCGCTATGATAAATTTATACGGATACTTTATTAGTCATTATTAATAGCTTTTTTTTTTAGGTACCTACACCATAATTGAAATAATTTTTACGCATAAAACATTAGGAAATGACTAGAAATTTATACCACAATTCGCAGCGTGTTGAATACCTACTGCCTAAGAATTTATAAGTTTTGTACGCGAATTATTTGATTTTGTTTGCATGGTCACGTAACATGAACTTTCGGAAAGGTTGTTGAACGACCAGAAGTGGTCCTCGGGAAACAATTCCCGATACATTTCGAATTTCCTGCGATACAATTTTTTTCCGCATTTTTATTAAATTCATCTAGTAATCCACAAAAGTACGACGGGACGTTTAATATTATTATTCTGCCCACATTTTGTTTTCGTTTTATTGCATTTTTTATTTCTGTCTGTGAACAAGTTTTTTTTACCAAAAGCCATGGCGCACTTCTACTACTACTACTACGGTACTGCTTTCGGGTATGGCACTGTTGTTTGGGTGGGTACTTGGAAAGATAGGGTAATCTAGTTTATTTACTGTGTGTGTTTGACTAGAATATATTCATACCGACATTTAATTTTTACAGAATACCTAGTACAATATTAGCATTTTTTAAAAACATTCTGATTTTTAAAATTATTTATATGCGTTCTTATTTGGGTTATGTGGATACAATAATTGTTTTGGCTCAGCAGAAATGTTTGGACATTTTACTCGAATTTCGTGAGTATAAGTTGTAATATGGTAACAAAAAAAAAAAAAATGTATTAGTTTTCTTACCTACACGTTTAAAGTTTAAATTTGAATGGAAATCTTAAAATACACAGCATTTCAAGTATTGTAAATATTGCGATGATTTATATGAATATATTTTTTATTTTTTCTAATCGTAAATAACTTTTTTACCTGAAAGATTGTTCTGAAGTATAGACTAGCACATTTTCTGATAGCCAATTTTTTTCTCATTGGTGCATTGGTCAATCTTTGATTTACCAAGGGGTTTTCGAAATAATTCAGAAAACCCCCCCCAAGAAAATTATAGGTAAAACGGTAAATATTTATGGCGTGCCGCGGCGTTATATTTTTCGTTGTTTTTAATTTGAACACGATGTTGTTTTCTATAAGAAATATTACGCCAATCGAAAAATGACTAGAGATCGATTTGGTTCTAATAATATTTCGATTGGTTTGGTAGGACAGATTGATATCTAAGTATATTTCTTAATAATTGGGAAAAACCAAAAAAAACGAAAAATACGTTTTCTGTTTCAAATTACGACGGCACTATTCCTTTATTTTAAATTTTTATGGCTTACTTTTTCTACAAAAAAAATTGCTCTAATAGAAAATCAACAAGAAATCTTTTTTGTTGAATTTTTAATCTAGTTGATGAGGTAAGAAAGTCGTTTTTTGATTTTCTTTGTAGTTTTTTAATAATTGAGCAAATCCTAATAATACGTAGAAATTACGGTAAAATTTACGAAAATAATTTTGTTATTATTTTTAAAAAATTTTTTTTTATTAACTAAATAAAAAAATTTTAATTTTTTTTTTTATAAGTCATTCTTAGTGGTAAAAAAAAATTGTAGTTTTGAATTTTTTATTTTTTATAATAGATTTAAAATCATAATTATTATGACCTTTCGAAACATGTAAAACTGAACTTCGCTTCGAATCGTTTTCCGTTGGTTATGGATTATCGCGGGTCAAAGGCATAAATATTGTAACTTTATGTATCCTACCTTCCCGACTACCTGTCTACGACAGTGGCCGCACCCGTCTTCAGTATCGGCTGTTTTTCTTATTATTATTTTATTTTCGTTGAAAAAGATGTACGATAACGAAGTGGCTACAAATTTCCTTCTGTTGGTACGCGCGACAAATCGCTCGGTCAATAATATTATTATGCGTACGTGTTACGACGACACGACTAACGAATTGATATGGGAATAAACAAAAACGACGTGTACGAAACAGGAAATTTGAATATTGAATACGAAAGACCGGTGGATTATTTGTGTACATACGAGCATCATGATGATAATAATTATCGTATTGTTGTACGCGGTTTTATGGCGTCGGCGTCGTCAGTGTAGACTATTTTTTTTTTTATGCGTTAATAGTATAACAATTTATTCGTAGTTATATTATACTCTGGTAATTAGATACACAGCTGGTATTTATTTTTTTTTTTCGGGGGTTTTTTTTTTTTGGCATTGCAGTTTGCCTTGCCCTTTGGACGATATTTTTAGACGGTATTGTGTGTGTCGGTTTGTTATCGCACTGCGACCACGCCGCTAGGGCGCAGGTGACGTCGCGTGCTTGTACCATTGGTGGGGGGGAGGGGGGATACGGAGATTCGTTAACAAAATTTTTTATTGCATTATCGGTCGCACACGGACACGGTAAATACCACTGGCGCGGTATTTAGTAGCGGTAGTCTTGGTACATGATATTAAAGAGAGAGAGAGAGAGAGAGTGTGAGCGAGCGAGCGAAAGACAAGAAGTGGTGGGGGATTCGGCGGGCCATCGCCGGCGATGTTCGCCCGTGTCGCGACTCGCGGTAGTTCTGTTCCGTTTGCGGTGCACGATCGTTTCGCGCGCGCCCTTTCGGTCCAGCAGTAGTCGCCACCGCGTCCGACCGTCGTCGCGTCTGGGTTTTCAATACTCTCCGCCGTGTGTGCTTCAGTGAGAGAAGTATACGTTCCAGAAAAAAATAAAACTAATAAGTCGAACGAAACTCCGGGTTTTCAAAGTAAAACATTTACCCAGAATTTATTAACCTATTAATTTCCGCGCTAGTGTTTTTTTTTTTCTCATCTATTTCAGTGTGTCGCGAGTATTTATCTATTATTATCATTATTATTATTACGTTACGGTATTAAATATTATTATTATATAGTGATCGCACGCCAATTACCGTCGCCAGAATTCCAACGGTGTAATAATAATAATAATTATTATTATAATATCGTCGTCGTCGTAATACACGTTTGTTGTGCGCGCAAAAATCGCACCCCACGCACATACACACACACGTACTGCATTTACTGCTGTTCGAACCGTCTGGCCAGTTTCTGCTGCCGCGACAGCGTGTACAACGGATAATGGAAAAAAATCTCAATCTTCAAGTATGCCCCTTTGATTTGTTTGTTTTTTTTTTTTTTTTTGCTCATACTATTTCATAATAATGTGGGGAAAAAAAAAAAAAATAATACCGTATTATGTATTTTATCGCGGCCGGGGAGTAGTCTCGTGCGTCGAAAATACCGTGTTCGAGCCGCATTGTAATTGTGTTTATAATAATAACACGGCGTAGCGTCGTGCCGTGGTAACAATTTGGTCGCGGCGGCGGCGGACCCTACCCGCCGGCAGCGAAGAACCGTCGAATGTTCCAGAAGGTTCGTTGCCGCCGCGCCCACGACCACCACGACGGTGTTCGCGAACAGCTGCTGCTGTGTCCGAGTCTTCTCGTGCGTCCCGCGCGCGCCTTTTTTTTTCGCGAAATTTCTCTCGGCTTCTCACGCCTTTGACCGTCCCGAATTTTTCTCTCGTCGAGAGTCGGCCGTCCGCGTCCGAAAACGTCACGGAGAAGCCGCCGCGCGACAATCGTTCCTAAACGTGTTTTCAGAGTTTTTTTTTTTTTTTTTTATCTTTGAAATTCGTTATCGCCGCCGTCGTCGCGTTTATTCGAATTTTCTTTCGTCAACCGTCGTCGGTTACCGGAAATCCGTTTTTCGAAGATAATAATCGCGACCATATGCCGCGAAGGTCGCGGCGGCGGTGTACGAGTTGGCACCCGTATTCGCGTATTATACAATTCAAATTTTTTATTTTCGTCCGTACGTGTGTGTTTTGTAATCGATCGTCGTCGGTCTCGTCGTGTCAAAACATATTTTAACGCGAACGCGTTTCGATTAGTCGGCGAAAACGGAACGGGGGGGTTACATACGGTATGGGGACGGATCGGTTTGTGAATATACGCTCAGCGATAGTTGTCGGGCGGTTTTCGGGGTATTTAAAAAAAAAAAAAAAAACGAACGAACCTATCCTCTCTCGTAATTGGTCGCCGCGGCGTACAGATCAGTGCACACTGACAAAAAGTGAAAAAAAAAAAAAATCCGCACTATTCCGGTGTCCTTGACTTGAATATAAAAACTCGCGCGCAGACTGCCGGTATAGGTCGGCGGCTCGTTCATAATGGTCCAGATTTAGGTATCCAAAAAAAAAAAAAAATCTTTTTTTTTTCCGATGCCACTTCCGTTCGCACATTTATTATACACTATTGTTGCATGGTATTTCATGAAACGCATTATCGTTGTTAGTTTTCGTGGTCCGGAGCGTTTTTCGGACGCCGTGTGTGTTTGTATTGTCGCACGCCGACCGCTCCCCCCCCCTCTCCCCGTGTATGCGACGCAGGTACCTACGGCCCGGGCGTATTATATTTTTCATTATTATGAAACGAAATTCGCCCGGTCTCCGCGCATATACGTACGAAATCGCGGCTCGGTGAAATTGTAAAGGTTTTTTTTTTTTTTTTTTTTTTTTTTTCGAAAACCGTGTTGCGCGTACGATATTGTGTTAATTGTTGTTTACCGTCGCGAACCGAAATGTAAACAACCGTGTTGACAAAATAATACGATATTATTGTCACAACAATAAATACAATATAATGTGTCGCGGCGTCGCGGTGTTCGTTATTTTCGAATAAGTAACGATGTTATATAATATCATATCCCCTTCCCCTCCCCTCCCCCACCCCGTCATCACCCGTCGCCTATCGAGACCGTTTCGTAATAAATCATACTTTATAGGCGCGTAGGTTCGGACGGGGAAATACGAAAAGTCCGCACACGATTCTGCTCCGATCGAATTCCGAATCCGTTTGTGTTCGGGGTTTTTTTTTTTTCTTTCAATTTGAATTTTCCACACGTCCACGATACCGCGCGCGTCATTCGCGGCGATATCATATTTTTCGTAATGCATTTACCCACCCGTTACGGATTTTCTGTCAAACACTATTATATTATACATGTATATCGTACCGCGGCGACTTTATATTATTAACATGATAAAAACTACACAATTTATTTGCTATAAATCGATAGGTTTGACGTCACGCGCAACGTGTGTAATTAAGTTGTGTTTTTTGTCGTTTTGGCCGTTTAAAAAAATAAAAAAACAACAAAATATGCATTATAAATATTGTCTTTGTATGCGCCTACCTATCCACCGGTTTCACGTCAACGTGTCCCATATTAATCTCCCCGTATTTGATCATAATAACCGTTACCCGCTGTGTACAATAAGTAACCGGCGTCAACCACGGTGGTTGGTGTACACAGCTGCGGCCGAACCACCGCGGACTCGGCGCAGACGGCTGTATAGGTACACAGACACGCGCGTTCGAATTCGCCAGTGTCAACGCGTGTAATATCATCGTGTTTACCGTTCGCGATAGCCGGACGGCGACATGTTTTTGACAGACTTGAATTGATTTTTTATGACGTGCCACGCCACTGCGGTCGGTTTAGGGTAGGTCGGGTTAGGTTAGCGTTGGTACGGTATGTGTATACGGTGTTTATTAGGATTTGTCGATGGAAAACGACAGCGGCGGTGGCGTTTGATAACGAGCCGACTGTATCGAATTATATATTGGAACATTTGACCGGCGACGGCGCGTTTGTCCTTGAACCGCCCCGCCGCCGCCGCGCTAACGGTCTACCGTTATTGATAATAGTGTTATGCGTGTAGGCAATTTATGTAATCTCAACGTATTTTTTTTTATTACTCTGTTACAGAACGGACATCTAGACGTATCCAGTAAAGATTTAAACCGCATGCGACCCTCCGCCATGTTGTCCACGTGTGACGACCGCCACCGTCCTTCGGCCGGGCGCGTGCAAACCGATCTCAATCGCTTGGCCGTCCTCAGCTACGAACAGGTGGCCCGACTGAACGACGTCATGGACGAGACCGTCAGTATCCACGGCCGTGGCAATTTCCCCACGCTGGAAGTGCGTCTCCGCGATCTGGTGGCCATGGTCCGCGACCGTTTACGAGCCCAAGCCGGTCCCGAAGACGACGACGTTGCGTTTTCAGTGGAACGCACCGCCGCCGTCGACATCGACGACACGTCTTTCCAAGTGAATAGTATCAGACTGAACGGCGGAGCTGCCTCGCACGTGTTGACCACCGACACCCAACCGTACAACGACTTGGATCTGATATTCAACATCAGTCTGTCTGGAAACCGGGATTTTGACCGGGTAAAGGCGGCCGTTTTCAAAGCGCTCGTCGACCTGTTGCCCGAAGGCGTGAGCCGTAAACGCATGACCCCTTGCAGCATCAAGGAGGCGTACGTCAGTAAAATGGTTAAAGTGAACAAAGACGGTGATCGGTGGTCGTTAATCTCGCTGGGCACGTTGCCGGGCCAACGGAACGTCGAACTGAAGTTCGTCGACAAGATGAAGAGGCCGTTCGAGTTCTCGGTCGACTCGTTCCAGATCGTGTTGGACTCGCTCCTATTGTTCTACGAATGTTCCAGCGGCGTGCCGATCAGCGAAAACTTCTACCCGACGGTGGTCGGCGAATCCGTGTACGGTGACTTCCGAGACGCCATGTATCATTTGGAAAACAAATTGATAGTGACCAGAAACCCGGAAGAGATCCGGGGTGGCGGTCTTCTCAAATACTGCAACCTGTTGTTGCGCAACTACGCTCCCGACTACGACGGCGACGGCACCAAAAAGTTAGAACGGTATATGTGCTCCAGGTTTTTCATAGACTTTTCGGACATCAACCAGCAACGGGCGAAGTTGGAGAACTATTTGAAAAATCATTTTTGCGCGCCCCAAGAGGAATATATGAAACTGCAGTATCTGAACGTATTGAAACAGGTGGTCGAAGAGAGCACCGTGTGCCTGATGATACACGAGAGACACCAGACGTTGGCATTGATCGCCGAACTTTCGTGGCAACTCATGGCTGGACACCAGATGTACTATTATTACCATCCGCAGCCACAGTTGACCATGTCCATCGGGCACCACAGCCAATTGCCGGCACAACTCCATTGCCCTTCATAAGTGTACAGTCGTTGTAATTTAATTTTTATTATTATATATATTTTTTTTTTTTTTTTTTTTTTTAGAAAATGATACAATTAACAATTCAATATTAAAAAAAAAAAAAAAAAAAAAAAAAAAAAAATGTTCATGAATATGTTTTACATATTATATACACGATCTCTAAAAAAAAATTTAAAAAAAAAAAGCCAAAAAAAAGTCTCTCGCACCATGCCCCATCCCCCCATCAATTCGTATTCGTCTGAAAACGACACCGTGTTTTAACGACCCAGTGAACAAATTCACGGTATCATATTTATATTACTCGCACGTCAATAATATATTGTCCGAAAAACTTCCGAAAACGTTTACTTGATTTAATATCTTTCAAAACGTCCGGCTAACATAATATATTACTAGTAGTTGTTGATTAATTTTTATTCAGTACGATTGCGCGCACGTAATGTTCGCGGTTTTTTTTTAATGAGGTTGAACAAAATTATACATTTACTCGTTGCGTACTTAATTGGTTACTTTTTTTTTTTTTTTTTTTTTTTTTTTTTACTATCTTGGCAGCCTTCGTTGACAATTTCGTTTACCCTATACAGATATTACAATTTATTTTTTAACCCCCGGTAGATAGATAGATAGATAGAGAGAGGGAGAGAGAGAGACAGAGACAGACAGAGATAGATAACGAGAGAACATAATATTTTGTTATATTTATTTTGATATGGTTTACAGAGAGAGCGGAACTCGGTCGTCGTCGTTGTCGGTAAAAGATTAAAATCGATGCATATATTTTTTTTAAATTTCCCCTAAACGTACTTGTTTCGCAAAAAATAAAAAGGAATTCTGATTGATGTACGCCGCGCAGTCATTTGACTCCAACGGTGTACAATATTTGTTTGATATTTGTTGTGCGCGATCAGTCACGTGCCTGATAGGCTATCGTTAAAACAATTTTTTTTTTCGCAACGAATAAACAATAAAATAACAAAAACGAATCGTTTAGCCGAAAAAAATCTGTCTCGTCGGTTTGCAAATAACCGCAATAATACGGTATGATGCGTTTTTTATACTCGCGCACATTTTTATTTTTTGATTTCCGACGCTCGCGTTTCGAGAGACTTATAAAATATTTTTTTTATTTTCATCAAAATATATTCGTTATGTACATACAAATATATAATATGCCCGTTACACAACCGAAATGATATATTATACGATACAAAGTTATTGCAAATTACAATATATATTTTCCGTTAGCGAATTTTTCGAATATTTTTCATTGTGTTTTCGTGATATTATTATATTTATAGATAACTATTTTCAATAATTAATTTTTTGTAAAAAAAAAAAAAAAAAAAAAAAGCTCGCGTATTTTATATCGGCGTTGTTGAATTTTTTTTTTTTTTTTGATTCCCCCTCCCCATATTATACACTCTTGATACTTATACACACACACACACACACACACACGTATTTTTACACACTTCCTCGTTCGTACGACGGCGTAAATAAAAAGTAGTCAACCGTCTTCATATGTAGTTATAATAATATATAATTAATAAAAAAAAATAAAAACAAAAAAAAAAATGTAAAACTTCTCTTATTTATAACATTGCATTGTTTGTAATAAACATTCCGAAATTTTTTTTTTTTAGTAAAAACGTGTAAATAATTATAATATATTAGAAGAAGAAAAAAGTTTAGGGGTAAAAAGACGAGACGGGGGTAAAAATAAAAAAATAAAATGTTTAGTGTACTTCTTTGTCTATTCTATATGCCTAATGTCTGTAAATCCGTACACGATATTAAAATTAGAACGGTGTAATTTTTTTTTTTGTCGTTTAACGTACAAAATTTACTTAATGATTAATTAAAAAATAATATAATTATTATTATTAATGTAAAAAAAAAAAAAAAAAAAAAACATCATTTTTAACGAGCAATTCTGAATATGTCCTAGAGTTATATATATACATTGTTTGTGATATTATGTCAATCTATTATTATTATTATTATTATTATTATTATTATTATTATTATTATTATTATTATTATTATTATTATAATAACTATAATTATTTTTATTATTATTGTTTACTACCTATATAAAAACGTAATATTTTGTCTTGAATTATTTTTTTTTTATTATAATATTTTTGTCGTGTTTTATCAAGAGACTTGTACGGGATGTACGTAAAATCTTCCAGTAATAATTAACGTTATAAAATAATTCTCCCTTTATTTTTTTTTTTTTTGTGTTCCATACATGTAATTATTATCATTATTATTATTATAATATTACCAGGTTGGCGTTTAGAGCGAAATCGCCGTTTTTTTTGTAAAAAAAAAAAAAAGTTATGTTAATATATTTATATTAAAAAAATAAATAATAAGGCTGATGTCTTTTTAAGTTTTTCTCTTTTACATATAATATATATATATTATTTATGTTATACAATATTGAAAAAAGAAAAAAAAAAGTATATTATTATTATATTATTCGAAATATTGTTACGAAAAAAGGAAAAATAACCATTAGTGTTAAACCGTTTAAAAAAAAATATTTTAATTATTTATATAGATAGAACTTTTGTTTAGCATGTAATATTTTAAACAGAAAAAAAAATAAACCATTTTATTTGTGTAAAAAAAAAAAAAATGCTTGTTTATCATTTCGTCCGTAATATCCATCTATATCCGTACAGGTGTTATTTTGCCGAACATTCGGGCGTAAGTCAAAATCGCACAGAACATTAATTATTTATAATTATTAATAATAATAATTATTAATTAATTAACGTGCATTGCGTATCTACTCTCTCTAAAAAAATCACTACGAAACGGATAGACCAAACATTTCCCCCAACTTTAAACTTTTCCCAGGTTCCCCCTTCTCCCACGCTATAAACCATTTCCAGATAACGTGGTACAATTTTCCTAGTTTCATGGTGATCGAATGTATGGTGTATATATATTTGTTTTTATCAGACCTTTGAAAGTTCATTTAAAATATGAACTAGTTCAAAATCTAAAAAGTGAACTAAGTTCGTAATTTCGTTCATATTGTATGAAAGAACTTTAAACTATTTTCGTTCATTTATAAATTCATTGAAAATTACATTTTGACAAATTAATAGTTTTATTAAGTAACAGCCATTTTAAATTCTATTAATCCGTGTGAAAACCGATTTTATCGCGTAACACGGTTAGGTTATTCCCGAGATAAAATCGGTTTTCAAACGGATTAGTAGAATTTAAAATGGCCGTTACTTAGAAAATAATCATTGGATATAAATGTGTGATACATAAAAATTTTCAGAAAAATAACCTTCGCAAAATGGTTATTTTAAAATTTCCTGAAAATAATAAAATAAAAAGTTGTTTTTTTAATTTAACAAAAAAAAATTAATTCAAACACAATTAATAGTAGTCTTCTTCGAATATTAAAAAAAAAAAAAAAAAAAAAAAAAATTTGATTATCTTTGTTATCTCCGGAAATATTCAAGGGACAGCGTGAATATAGAGAAAATAATACTATGTTACAAAAGCCACTAATAATATTCAACCGTTTATTTATTTGTTTTCTATAACGGACACACTGTAAGTAAAATTTTAGATTGGACTTGGCCGTTTGTTCATTTAGACACAGAAAAAAAAAAAATGTTTCTACCAATTTTCTTTTCATTCATAGATTGTATTTGACTGACGGTAACGGTTCACGTACCTTGCAGAGTGTTGAGAGGTGGCTAACGGCACTTCAGCCCTTCCCCCTACCGATTGGCCGTGTTAAAATACAGTACGCACAACTACAGCTAAACGTGTATTATGTAAAATAACCTCTACTCTCAACATTCCGCGAATGAACATTTCGTGTCTGATGATAATCATAATTTTGTTTATGTTCAGCGCATCCTCCTGCCCCTGTCCATCCCCCCCTCCCTTCCCGTCGGGAACGGCTGGGGCGGCAATCCATCCGAAATCGTCATCTGCGTACTTCATCCGTATACTGAGACGCGCGTCTTGAGCATTCGCCGTTTATTTACCGCATTAAATGTTACGTCGAAAAAACCGTTCGGCGTCGATCGCATTGAACGAATGAAACGAAAACGATTCCGTGCACCGCCCGTCGTTTATAAATTATTGACATAATATTATTTACGGGGATGAGAAAACGCAGCCCCGTTCGTGTCGGACAAACGCTGAGAACCACTGATCCGGACTGCAACAGTGTATATTTTATCATGTTATTCGTGTCCTTTATTTCTCTCTCTTTCTCTTTCTTCCTCGGCCGTTTCTCGCGTCGTTGTCGGGTTTGTTTGTAACGGTCGCCAACGGCTGCCGACGAAACCGTGTGTTCCGAGCCGCCGACCGCGCGACGACCACGCGGTTGGTCTCCTCCCGTAACCCCCACGATAATCCGACGTCTGACCTAACCTCTCGCCTTCCTTCCACCTACCGGGTACCATCCGTGCGACGGCGGATAATATCAAAGTGCACAGAGAGGGAAGGGGGGGGGAAACGTTTGTTCGCGCAACCGAACCTGACGGAGACGACGATCCCCCTCGCGGAGCATCAGCCGTCCGACAATAATATTACACGATAACTACCGCAGCGCGCAAATAATAATAATATTATAATGGTGTACGGTCGTCGCTGTAACAAATATAATTATTACCGCAATAATATTCTTCTTCTTCTTATTATTATTATTATTATTTTAAATGTCCGTTGGTCCGTGTCGTACGCGTGTAACCGGTTATCGGTCGCGAAAAGGGGTGGCCGCGGAACGAACAGTCGCCATTTCCGGCGAAGACCCGACGACGACGATGAGATCGCGTAGTAGTCGCAGTTATTGTCCAAGGTCACCCCGCGGTAAACGTTGTTTTCGAACACGCAAAATAACATTATTATCGTTATTATCGTCTCCAGATGATTGTCTCGAGGCGATCGTGTTTTAAAGATCACTATTCGCGATTACACGAAGACACACGACCGCGGATCATATTATGCGAAGACAACATTTTTAGTTTTCGATTTTTGCACGCTCGATATTCTCGCGAGCGTTTCATCGCCTCGGCAACTAAACTATATTAACCGAATAGACTGGATAGGTCGTCAATCGGCCAATGTAAAAACAAATTTTTTTTCTTACTTTTAGCTCTTTTTTTTATATCGACGACCGCCGTAGGCGTAGCCAGACTAAAAGAACTAATATGTCACCGGTGATAAGCAAGTAAAAAATGAAATAGTCATCGTCGAATCTCCCACCTATTGGTGGCAATTAATCAGGCCCATCAAACAGGCCCTGCACATTGCCCATATTTTTAAATTTCACTTTCTCTTATGTCTTCGGTGACGGAATGGGGAGGTTACATTCACTTCTCCGAATTCTTAAATTTTTTTCGAAGAATTTACGAATTCTACATAAAACGTACCCTTATACCATTAACCTCATTTTTTTTTTTTGTAACTGATGCCATTTCCTTATAATTTTAATTACATACGAGTACGTTTGTGTACTTTACTTATTTGGTAATTTACCATCGCAAACACGCCCAGAAATTTTTTTGAAATTCTCAAGCCCTCCATAAATTAATCCTATATAGTTTCGCTCATTGTAAGTCTTGTAATTTATTTTTTCAAACTATACCAACTGTTGATTTTCAAACGCCAACATAATCGTTTTTCGTTATCAATGGTTTATCTTGGTTACACGTATCAGTTAAAGAACTTTACCAGGCGCGCGTACAAGAAGAAGGGGTAGGGGTTAACCCCGAAATTTCATAAAAATTATGATGAAAGTAGATTTTAAATAGGTTGTTTGAATTTTCTTTTTATCTATTACACTGTAGGGCCGATAAAGGTAAAAGAAACAAAGGACATATGTAATCGTTTTATTATCGAAGATTGCAGTTCGTTATACATTTTCCAAAAAGAAAAATATCGAATTCTTACCGGTTGGTAATATAAGACGTGTTCTAGCCACGTTTACAAAACATAGATATGATTAGGTGGAAAATCGGTTGGTAGGATACACAAAGAGTAATTTAATTTATATGTGTACGCAACGATAAATCATTGCAAACGAAAAACAATTTTGAGCGAAGTTCGTCTAATCTTGCGTTTTGAAATGCTGTGAATACCATGATTTCCGTTAAGGGAATTGGTGACGGATTTCAAAATTTCCTCCAATTTTGTAAAGTTGAGAAATTTGTGTTTACGTTTCAGAGATTATATAATAACCACGTGACCATGATAAGAATTTCACCAAATACTAAATACTGTCCGATATTCATTGAAGGGGAAGGGATAGGTTCGTTTTATGGATGAATATGACGTTTTAAACCGAAAAGCTAGATGAAATTAAAAATTGCGTTTGACGGTTTCAATTTTGAAAACGTATTATTATTCGATAGGTTCTAAACGATGGATTTTTTTTATTGGAATTTTTTTATCGAGAGTAAAACGCAAAAAACTTTAAGTATACGTTTTTAAACATTTTTCAAAAATACAATTAAATATTTTTACAATTTCCATCAAAACAATTTAATTTCTATTTGCAACATATCCCAGTGAAGAATCACATATATCATAATCCGTCATTAAAATTGAAACCCATCAATCACAATTCCGACAGTTTTGTCTGGGTTTTAGGTTTAAATCTATTTAAATAAACACCGTTTCACCACCCTCTTAAAATTTAAACTTATAAACGCTTATGACCAAAATTAAATTACGCTCAACTTAATGGATCACGTGTTAAATTTCAGTTTGGCCAAAACAATTGTACCTATTACCTACATAAAACCAAATAACATCTAAAAAAAAACTTGAAAATGTCAAATGCCTATAAATAGCCCAAAAATAGCAGGAATGTTTCGAATATTTTACCACGTCTAAACAAATACTTACATAAAATATTTATATTAGACTAATATAAGTATTCATGCAAATTCCAGGTCTCTAAGCTTAATTATTTAAAAAAAAATTGTTTTTTCTCAAATTATTTAGAAAACACTAAAAGAAAAAAAAATATTTGTTCTCAATGTACCATGTACCACTGGATACGATTTACGTTCAGGAAAAATGCAGCTATACACTAATGAGAATCGTAGAAAAATTGTTTAGTAAAAAGTTGTTTACAGTCTGTAAACAACAACTTTTTAGAATCTGGATGTGAACACTATGCATAAATGCATAATGTAAAGATTTATAGAAAATAGCTTGATTTTTTTTTATTTGCTTTATTTGCTTAATGTGACTACATATTTTATTTCCAGCCATGGAATATATATCAATATTATCGATGTTTCAAGTTAATAAGTGAACACTTGTTTAGTAAATTTAAAATTATTAAAAAACCGTCTACGAGATTATCATTATTATCTAACGAATGCTAGCAATCTTTCCTGTTAATTTATTTGAAAAAAGAAATATTGAATTATTTGAAGTTAAAAGCTATTTTGAAAATAATTTAAACTAATTCTTTATCTAATTCTCTATCCAAATCATTGTTTTGCATATAAATACAATATAATCATAAGCTTAAATTTGCCACACCTGTTACTTAGTGTAACTGGTTTATACATCTAAATATTTCGAATTTTCTTTGTAATAAACATAGTTCCTAAAAGCTCCTATTCGACATTTTCTCTAATATTCTAATAAAATAATAAGGTACAAATTTTATTGAGAACATTTTAATAATCTAT